CATTACTGCGAGCTCCGTGATTGGCGTTGAATTCTGTGGTGTTGTCGCGTGATTCCAGGGCAAGCAATTTGCTTGCCCTGGCTCGAGGTAGACTATGGGGCCAAGGGCCGCGATCGCGTAGAAAGAGCCGCTGGACAACCACGCGCTCGACCCACTTGGCACCAGCAAGTCGAAAGCCTGGGTTAGTTACCGGGACAAGACTTGACCTCTTCACCAGAAGGCTCCATGAGGCGGGTCTTTCTCGTATGGTGTTTTTTGGAGTTTAGCCTTGCAACTGTGCACGGTAATTCAACCTATCACGTGTTAGTAGACGCAAGCAACATAGCCCAAGCTATTCTGTTCGTGCATGTCTAATGATAGCTATTCTGTACGTGTTTCCCAGGACCAGCTTGTTTTTTACGTATATGTTCAGCTCTTTGCCAACATTATAGGACTTGCCTGGGTGTGTCTTTTTTTAGGGGAACCCCCCCCCCAACAAAAAGGAGGTTGTCCTTCTGGTTTCCCTTTAAAGCCATGAAAGACAGAGCATTCTCACGGAATCAAATACATGTGCCTACTAAGTCTTCCACATGCAGAGAAACCTTGAGCTTTCTAACAAAAGCAAACAAACAACATTTCAGACCCTATGTATCCATGTTGGCTGAGTTGGAATTTTAATGTTTGGTAGACACTTCGAGGTCTTTTTGCACTTTTACAAGAACAAAGACACCTCGAGAAGCAACAGAGACACCATGATTTCTGACCCCTTGAGCCCAATGCACAGTTGCAAGTACGAGAAAGACCCGCCTCATGGAGCCTTCTGGTGAAGAGGTCAAGTCTTGTCCCAGCCACTGACCCGAGTGGGTCGAGCGCGTGGTCGTCCAGCGGCTCTTTCTACGCGATCGCGGCCCTTGGCCCCATAGTCTACCTCGAGCCAGGGCAACCCCGGAATCGCGCGACAACACCACAGAATTCAACGCCAATCACGGAGCTCGCAGTAATGGCCATCATTCCTTCGTTGATGGTGCTGCGGATCCCTGGACTGGCACTGTGATATTTGCGCCCTTCAATTCCCCTGATGTGCTGGTTGTCCGCGGATGAGCTTCACGGCGGGCGCAGCCGCTTTTACGCCCGGGTTTTAAGAACCAGGCATGCTTTGTGCAGCGAGGGGAGGGTACAATCGCGACAGGAACTAGGGTACAACGACACGACAAACACAATTGTTACAATACATGAATTGTGTGTTTGATCCCGACAAGGAAGGACATAGAAGGAAATCGAAGTGGCAACGTCATTGTTTGACGTTGCTTTTGGTTGTGGTTTAAACCTCCTCACTTTGGAGCTCAGCGACTATATGTGAGTGGTGCAGGCTTGAATGCATGTTGCACCTAAACCATCAATGGACGCTTATACGGACCAAAAGACGGACGGCTTGTGTCTGCAGCTCTGCCAACTCATGCTTTACGAGGCAAAACATCGGCAATTCGGCAGTTTGGCAATGCCAGGAGCGCTGGTGAGGCAAACCGCGGATGCGGCGTGCGGCTTTTGACTTAGGAACTTTTTGGGATGATCAAAACGTCTAGCGATTGTTTTTTGGCTCTGCTTGGTTGCCTGCAAGTGCGTGCCTCATACGCTGCAGATTTGACCTCTTGGGAGTGTTTCTTCCAGTTGCACGCTAATCTTTAGAACTTCAGGAGGGGACTTGTTGCCTTTTGGTTGATAGTGATTGAAGCGACGCAGGGTGACCCCAATCCTCGCATTTCGGGACATTCATCTTGCTTCCAGAGTTCCGTGTTAATGGCGAAGAGTCATTTGGCCACTACATGCAAGTGATTCAACGGCGACCAAGTATAGATGCAGCGGACGGCTGCAGCATCCAGGACACGTGTCGCATTTGATTAAGCCGCTTCTTTTGTGAATCCCGACACGTGTCGCATTCGATTAAGCCGCTGTGAATCTGTCGAGCTGGGCACGCTCAGGATGAGGCGTTGAGCCAGGGGCTGTGAGGCATCAGTGCCACACTGCAAACATAGAGCCTGTCAGCGCATGCGCAGAGCACGTCGTTCAGCTCTAGGTTGCGCTTGACAGATTCAACTTGTCTCAGCCAGAGCCGCCAGCAAAGATGCGCATGGGTGCAGCTTGTTGCATATTCGGTGCCACTGGCAAACCTGTGGCAAGGGTGCCAGCGCTGCCAGCCAGCGCCAAGACGACGTGCTTGGATTTGGGTCGCCCATTCTAGCGGCGAACAATAAGTGTCTAGACCTTTTGTAGCCAATCCGCCCAGGAAGGCTTGGCACAAGAGCAACTGCAAATATACTTCGTACATACATGGATTTGGGTGGGTTCCTTTCTGATTTGCACCAGACTGTGGCCTGGGTGTATTGATGGTGGTTTTTTTGGGCCTTGAGTTGCAACTGGCATGACCACTCTGGCTTTTGCAGGCTGTAGCTTGAACATGTAGCGCACAAACGCAAGATACTTGATATTTGCTCAGACCTTTCGTAGTTTTGCCACTCGAGAGCTCGCAGGTTCAGTCTTGCGCTGCTCGGAAATATGAGCGCGATGAGGTGTTTGATGCTAGTTCTTGGCATGGGCCAGGCAAGCTCAGATGACGCTGCATGTGCCATGCAGATGGGCAGGGTGGCCGTGGGCAGGTCGGAGTTTACCAAGGGCAATAGCTTTGCCGAAGCGCCGGACCACCGTGGCAAGTACTGCAACGCTCAGCTGATGAGAAGCGTGCTGACTACAGGGTGTTCGATGGCTTTTCCAGTCGGCAGAAGTGTGAGGATTTCTGCGCCGCCGACCCCGAATGCAACTTCTATGTCTGGAATACGGGCAGCAAGACCAGAAGCGCCAGGATCAGCTCTTGCACGGCTCAGTGCTGGTTGTTCTCAGCCTGCCGGCAGAAGTTGCCCTCTTTGCACAAGCCAGGTCCAAGCGTGTTCGCGGCCACGACAACTACCACCACAACCACCACGACATGAGCTTCACTGCGGGCGCAGCCGCTTTTACGTGCCCGGCCAGGCATTGCTTTGTGGAGCGAGGGGATGGTACAATCGCGGCAGGAACTAGGTTACAACGACAAACACAATTGCTACAATACATGAATTGTGTTTTTGATCCCGACAAGAAAGGACAGAGAAGGAAATGGAAGGACATAGAAGTGACCTTCATTCCTTCCGTACGTACGTACTTCTTTCCTGTGTTTCTTGATTTTCATTCTTCTTTCGATCTCTCTAACTATCTATCCATCTATCTACCTATCTACCTTTCCCTCTGTCTGCCTACCTAGCTGTCCCTCTCTCTATTGATCTCTCGATCTATCTCTCTCTATCTATCTATCTCTCGATCTATCTATCTACTTGCAAACTAGCTATCCAGCTATCAGCCACCTGCCTACCTACCTACGTAGCTATCTACCTATCTCCCTCTCTCTCTCTCCCCCCCTCTCTGTTTTCTATCTATACCTGTCTATCTGCCAATCTATCTCTCTATCTATCTATCAATCTATCTGTCCATCTGTCTATCTATCTGCCAATCTACCTCTCTCTCTCTATCTATTCATCTATGCCTGTCTATAGCTAGATACTGTCTATCTATCTATCTATCTACATACCTACCCACCTGCCTACCTGCCGACCTGACATCTCTCTCTGCCTCTCTATCTAAACAAATGTTTATCCGCCTGTCGATCCATCTACCTATCCATCTGTCCCTCTCTCTCTCTATCTTGGCTCTCTTCTATCTATCTATCTCGCCGTCTATCTATCTATCTATCTATCTATCTATCTATCTATCTGTCTATCTCTCTCTCTCTCTATCTGTCTGTCTGTCTGTCTGTCTGTCTGTCTGTCTATCTATCTATCTATCTATCTCACCTAACTCTCTGTCTAGGTGTTTATCTGTATGTCTATCTCATCTATCTATCTGTCTGTCCATCCACCTATATATCCATATATCTCTCTGTCTGTCTGTCTATTTGTCTATCTGTCTGCTTATCTGCCTATCTGTCTATCTGTTTATCTGTCTATATCTATCTAATCGATCCATCCATCTATCTGCCCATCTATCTATATGACTATATATCTATCTATCTGTCTGTCTGTCTAGATAGCTAGCTAGCTATCTATCTATTTATCGCGAGTGCTGCGCCTGCCACGAAATCTGTACTTGATCTTGCGAAAGTGCTGCGCCTGCCAAGGTCTCTGCACTTGACTGTGCGAAAGTGCTGCGCTGCCACGAAATCTATACTAGACTTTGCGAAAATGCTGCGCCTGCCAGTGCAACTGTCCACCAACATTTCGTTTCAGTCCGATTCTGCAAGACTTGATGTATGGATTGCTTCAGCCGGCCAAGATGAAAAATCCAGCCAACGTTTTGGGCCATTGTTTCCCAAGCCAAATCAATCAAACTTCAAAAGGCGAACCAGGGTCCAAGCGGTTTGGTGCCCTTTTTGGCGTGAAAACCCTCCTGAAAGCCGGCCTGGCAAGCGCATCTGCCCGAAGCTGTTGGCAGACAAAGTTGCCTTCCTTTTCTTGAACGCTTTGCTCGGAATATACGCATCCTGTGCTGTTGCAGCCTGGCATTTGTGATGTTTTCTCGGTAGACCCAAATGACTAAGTGGAGCTCACCAAGCTACGTGACGAACGGCTACATGGCTTGGATGCGTCCGAAGCAGGTCACTACTACTTTCTCTGTGTCACATCTGGCACGGTGCCCCATGGGGCAGTAGCCAAACTCAAGCAAGGCACTGCATGGCAATGCAAAAGAACTTGGAGATGGTCCTCTCAAATTGAAAGAGTGACATCATGGACATTTGACAGGACCGAGATGCTGCATGCAAGATCATCGGAAGCCCGACCGTGCCATGTGTATTACACTAGCGGTCGATGCTCCGAAATTGTCTGTACAAGCCGTGCACTCTGCACAATGGGTGGTGGCTGAAACACGAGACCTCTAGATTTGGATGTTGTATCTATGGGGGGAACCCTTTTGGTTGAGGAAACCCCTTGTTAAAGAACGTACAGAATACTGGTTCCCTTCGAAAATCCCGGCCACTGCCTGAATTCCCCAGCTCCCAATGCCCGGCCAGCAAAGGACGCTTCCGATCATCACACGCTGGAGCTTCCTGCATGGGCCCGGGGAAGGGGCAACGGTGAAGCTTAGAGAGGCCAAAGCACCTGCAGATTTCCTGTCAGAGAAGCCTCGCCCTCTGACGCTCGGGCACATGAATCCCGCGTGGGATGATTGCGTGTCAAAAGGAAACCGAGCAACGACGCCAGATTCGTCAAACATGTTGGACTTGCCTGACTACAAGTACCCTTGGCTAAATAATAAGAGAAACGCGCCCAAAAACCAAAGGTTTTGCCAGCCCGAGGAAGATCTTGCGACTTGGCCCAAGGAGTCAAAATGAGGCGTTTTGGTGCGAGGCGTCTCCAAAACCTCTCTGAAAAGATGCTTGCAATTAATAGTAAATGCGACGGCCCCGCACATGGTGCTCATTTGGGATAGCCAAAACCTCGGCCAGTGGGTCATGTTGTCATGGTTCCCTCAAAAAGCCTTGCAATGGATAAGTTTGTTCTTAACCAGCCCCACCAACCATTGGATTCCTTTCCGGGAAACAGAAAAGCGCAGGGGGTCCCCGGTTCCGCAACTGTCCGTGCCTTTCTGCGCAGCGCCAGCATGAGTTCTCCTTGCGGCAAACACATCGCTGGCAGCCGAGGACTTGGGACACCCAAAACTCGACCCATCGATTCCTCGAAGCCTTGGAGAACCTTGTAATTCTCACGGAGGTCTTTGGTCGCACAGGTTGGCCGGGCCTCAAAGCTGAGACCCTTGCGAGCGCGCACACATACACACACCGTTTCCTCTCACGAACAAGCATGCCAATCGGCTTGCAAGCAGTGACTTTGCTGTGCGGCACAGCCTGGACGGACCTATCACCACCTCTCTGTGGTCCGATTGAACCTGCAACAAGTCAGGAACGGCGAAGCCGCTCAAGCCATCTGCCCAAAATCCAAGCACGCTTCCTGCCTTTGTTGTCCTTGCTTGTCGGCCACTCTTGCGCAGGATACTTGTGTGCCTGAAAGCTTCTTCTGACTCCCAAAGTGAGATTGCATTGCACGCCTGCCAGTGTAAAAACACCCTGGGCATAGTCCAGAGGGAATCCGCATCACGTAAGGAAAACACTCCCGATTATATCCGCCAGGATCTGCTTCAACCGGGGGTTGACAGCAATGCGAAGCTTGACCATTCAAAGGCTGGGCATCTGGCGTCCGCGTGGAGTTGCGATCCTGCACGCCAGCCAAAGAGATGATCGTGGGACATCTATTTCTACAAGTCGTGGGACAGTCAAATTCGGGAGTCCTTGGTTTTGGTGATTGAAGTAGCAAGTCCTTTCCCCTGTGTCCCTCCCAAATGGACCACAACCAGTAGCTTTGACCGAAACTAAGGCCATGTGACCCGTTGTATGGATTCCAACAAATAAGTTCCTTTCGGAAGCTACACGCATGATCCCTGAGGTGCAACCAGTCCTCGAACCCGAGCGCCGCACCGAAAAGCTCGTCTTCTTGCCTGCACAATGTTTGTAAGTGGGCGATTCCCATCATGACTGGCTGCTAGCTTATGCTGATTCCCTTGACAGTCCGAGTTGAACCCTTCCACCCACCCCGGAAAAAAAAGGGGACCAAAACAAGCACGAAATAACAGCTCCGGGGTAGGATGTGCGGGTCCCTTTCCGACAAAAGGCTCCCCGTTTGGCACGTGCCTCGTGTACCTGTTCGACCACGCCAGCCTTAGGCGAGACTCGAAAACTCGTTAAGCGCATGACCCAAGACAGCTGTGTCTTTGTCAGTCCTCAAACCTCTGGGACCCAGGGGAAACGTGCTGTCATTTATGGCTATATGGGTAATACAAGTATCTGTTCGAGTTGGTACCCTTTTTTCGAGTTGGTACCCTTTTCAGGTTGCCCTTTTTCAGGAACCCCAAAGGAACGCCCATGCATTTTGGGGGTCTCAATCCTATCTGCCCTATTTGGACTCCCAGCTTCGTTCAACCGGGCCACGAGAAGGAGCCGTGCAGAGGGCCCGCCACAGCCAGCAAGGGTGCCAGGAAGATAAAGGTGAACAGCAAAGACCTGAGTGTGTCAAAAGCAGGGGGCGCAAAATCAAAAAAAGATGGTGGAAATCCTTTTCGTGTCCCTTTCAAAGTCAAAAGGGTGCCAACTCTTTTTTAACACCCGAGAGCACGAGACAGGATCCCGCGAAGCCAAGGATTCGTGTTCCAGACTGAGGAGTCGACAACACTGTGTTGGCGACCTTGGGATGTGCAAGATTCAATCCACTGACTGGATGTAACCAATTCGCGCCAAGGTGCAAGCATGGTACCGAGCTTCACGAAAAGCACAATGCGGCACGGCAGGAGAAAGGACGTGCCAGCAGCCGTCGTGATTGCTCCACCCACGATGGAAGGGCCCAGATTCACCAGCGTGGTTTGAAGCTTGTCCTTGGATTTTGGAATCACCCTGAAGCGAGATGAAGAACCACCTGAACCCGCACAGCAACTCACGCAATGAGAGTCCATGATTTCGGGCCACGATAAGGGTGCTGTCCTTCCTTCTTTCCCTCCCTCCCTCCCTCCCTCCTCCTTCCTTCGTTCCTTCGTTCCTTCGTTCCTTCGTTCCTTCGTTCCTTCGTTCCTTCGTTCCTTCGTTCCTTCGTTCCTTCGTTCCTTCGTTCCTTCGTTCCTTCGTTCCTTCGTTCCTTCGTTCCTTCGTTACTTTTTCCTCCCACATCCCCCAGGTTTCCAATTCCATGTGTCCAGTCTAATCGGAGAATATACTGGAATTCCACCTCGCCCAACTCCAATAAGCTGGGGATCCGACTCCTTTTTCGATCATCCCTGAATCCGTTGGAAAGGCTTGTGAGCTAAAACCCAAACGCTGAGCCAGCTCAGCTCAGCTCGCTGCAGTCAAGCATCAGTCCGTGATTCCCTGCTGGCTGAATGATAGCCTTGCGAGCGAGCCATGCTCCTTTAAGGCTCTCCAGCACACGGATTCCGGACGCACGTACTCATTGCGGTCTTCTGGAAGCCGGAAACCACCAATTGCTGCTGTTTCTATTTCAGACAACTTGACTCTGTAGTCACCCATCTGTCCCATGGGGCCCTCCGCAGGCAGACCGTGCCTGTGTCTTACGTGTTTACTAGTGTCCAACTTCGGCCGGTGTGCCTCATGGGAATTTGGTGAGCCGCCATGTCCCAAGGGGCAAAAAATGAGTGTGACCCGTGTCGTCCCCACGAGTCGCTCACTCCAAATCATCGTGACCGCCAGGGGGCCATGCGCCAGGTGCAGGCAGTAGTCAACGCTCATGCCCACGAAGATCACAGCGCCCACTGCCTCGATTGCGCCAAACTCGTATCCCATCACGCCGAAGAGGAACCCGAAGAGCGGGCACACTTCCTCGGCAAGGAAAGGAAAAGAAAGGAAAGGCCCTGTATTTCTAAACAGTAACCCTCCCAAGGGCAACTCACCTTAAATGGGCAAAACATATCATGTTCAGGACAGCCGAAAAGTTGGAAAGCCGGACCTTTCGCCCCAAGCGAAAAGTTTGTGGTTTAAGCACGCTCAGCTTGGCAAAGAGCGCAAACAAAACCGGCATTCAGCCAACCAACCAGCCAGCCAGCCAGCCAGCCGGCCACCCACCCACCCACCCACCAACCAACCAACCAGCCAGCCAGCCAGCCAGCCAGCCAGCCGACCTCAAACGAGTCACAATCAAAACCCATATTCCCAAGGTCCGGGCCCAAATCAATGTAGAGAAATCAACGCCAGAGATCCGCTCCCATGTAGCCGTGTCCGAGACCCTTAAATTCGATTGTGTGCGCCGTATTGCACGTGATCGCGCCATCACCAAGCTGCCATCAGCATGGTGAGGAGCACAAAGAGTCCGATGACCAGGTTTCGGCTGAACAGCACCACGCATAAAACCGCGATGCCCATGGACCTGGGTTCTTTGGTCGCGCGTTCTCGTATTCACCCAAAAAGTGGTCGAAGGAAGCCGCCTGCAAGAAGCGATCCGCTTTTGGTGAGTGAGGGAAAGTGTCAATTTTTGGAAGGCTAAAAGAGGTCACAAATCACATCAAACAGCAACCAAGGGACAAGCAAAACGACTGCCCCGTGTTGGACAGGATGCTCTCTTCCTTGGCTTGCCGGCAGTCTGCAGGAACTTCGGATTTGCAACAGCACAGTGTCAACTTGTTGAGAACTGCAAAATAGACTTCAACCTAGGTTGATCCCCCAAAAGGCGAACCCTGGGCTGAAGTCGCAAACAAAAAATGGAACCCTTTAAGGGCAGCTCCCATGACTTGCCAAAACATAAGCTCAAGCTCCGACTAGGTCTGCTTTCGGATGTTGTAAACACTGGCAGCCGCCAAGCCAAAACCACCCGGTTGCTCGAAACTTGCCAAGCCAAACCGAGTGAGCTTCTCCTGAAGAGGTTTGATGGACTTCTTGAGCCAGGGACCCTATGAGTTGGGGTTCATTTTACAACCCAAATGTGTTTTGTTGAACCCGCTCAACGGTGTGTGCAATTTGTCGGGGTGCTCGTTTTGGGGTCATGTCAAAGGGCCCAAGCATTTTGCGCCGGCCCAAGCTTCCATGTCCGCAGATGTCCAAGCATGAGACACCATCAGCGCTGCACCAGCGCTACTGGGAGCTTCTCCTGAGCTAACTGGTAAGGTTTCAAGACAAGGCACGAAATGGGAGCCTATGGTGGTTTCCCTTTTTGCTTGTTGGTTTCTGAAACACAGACTTTTCAAGGGCCGGCCCCGCACCCACACACACACACAATCAACCTTGCCACCCCTTTCGCCACCCCACACAGAAACCAAGCGAGCGTCGGTTCAGCCCGGAGAGGAAGTCGTCCCAAGCTCCGCGCACCAGCTGCAGCCTCGGGGCCACGGTCTAAAAGACGTGGGAAACTCAGTGGACCCCCCCATGTAGATTCGCGATTCCCCTGGTTTTTGTGGGATCCCCTGATTTGTGTGGGAAATTTGGAGTCCCCCATTTCCACAAGAGATGGAGCATTCGGGTTCAGGTCTGAAGCTTGACGGCTCGCCCATGTCCCTCCCAAGAGCTGATTGGCCGACAGCTTTGAACCCAAGAGCCCCAGAGGGAAGGCTCTGCCTACGGCCTGGGAATGGAAGTTTTCTTTGGATCCCAAGAGGGGCCAAGCAGAACTCTGCTCGGTTGCGAACTCTGCTCCCTAAAAGCTCTTAGCTGTTAGCGGTTTAATGGCAAACCCAGTAGTCGGCAAAAGGTTAAAGTCCATCCAAGCAAAACTCGCCAAAGCAAAGGCCCGTTCATTCTGATCTTTTGCCATGGCAAAACATATCAACCAACACTGATGCGTACTGGATGCACCCTGCCTGGATGCCCCGCCATTCTGCGGGGCGTTCACGAAGAATCGAACCAAGGCAAACACTGCGTGTCCTGCTTCGCAACGCAGGGAGGGGCTCTGTGTGTGTGTGTGTGTGCGGCCATTGCATCAAGGTGCGTTAACAAAACTAGATCTGTTCTGCGCCAACGTCTGATGTGTCCACCAAAAGCGGCCGCACTTCTCAAACGACCGCATGCAGTCCGCGCGCGTCGGCGCCTGTGTAGTTGTCCCCCACGGTGCCGAGATCCCTTTGGAAGGCATCGGCCTGCGGCTGGTGGAAGAAGGCCGTCAGCGCCTGCGACGCCAGGCTCCTGAAGGCCAAGGAGACTCGCCGAAACCGACGCGTCCCGTCCCGTCCTGGGACGCACAGGAAAGGTGCCACCCACCGCCAGGACGTACTCTTTCCAGGCCTCCAGGGCACAACGGGGTCCGAAAATTCTTGGCCCAGACCCATTTTGGATCTCCAGGCACAAAATGAGTGGGCGACCATCAGGCCTCTATCCAGCAGGGTACCTGGCACGGGTCCAAAAACTTTCGGCTGCAAAAGGGAAATGCGGAGCTTTGAGCGCGCCTCCGAGCGCACTTGCAACGCGGTGATGTTGCGAGCTGCAGAACAGGCGTCTAAGAGCCACATCTGCGCCTGGCACGGATGCGCGTCCTGAGAACCTTTGAGAAACTTGGGTTTTTGTAAAATGATCACCGACAAGCAACTCAAGCAGGCATTCACACATAAGCATTGACATATCACTCTCTCGCCAACAATGAACAACTTCAATTGAAAACTCTTTGGACATCCTTTGGACAGTTGATGTCCACCAACCAATTTGGAGGGTAACACCACCTCCCAACTCAACGTCACCGCCACCCAAACAAGGCCTCTTCAGGGCTGTTTTTTCTTACGCGAGCCTCGGCTTCAAGAAGCTCGAAGGAGGGATCGAAGGCCGGGGCGGACACATTGTCCGTCCTTGTGGCTAAAAGTGGCTGAAACGCATCTTGCCCCCGGCTGGGAGGTTGAAACAGTGGTTAAACACGTACGCAATGGAAAAAACAAACGATTGTTTAATCTCCCAAAGGAAAGCCAAAACCGGAGGTTCGTTTCAATGCTTCAAACCACGCAAACCAGCCCCGGACCCCTAGTCTTTCCCCGAATCCCCGTCCTCGGTCCCTGGATGCCTCAGCTACATGCTCCTCCCACCACTTCCAGGGCTCTCGGAATATTTTTGTTGGCAAAACCAAGCGGATCCGGCGGTCCGACGGTCCCACGGATTTCAAAAGTCAAGGATCCTTTCTTGGATGGTGAATTACTAAAAGTTGCACAGAGATGTCCCTGCATCACCCCACCAAAAGGAAACTCACCTCAAATCGGGAACCAATAGGTGATGTGGTTTCAAACAGGGGGTATAGCTATCAATTGGAAACCACATGAAAGCCGTCCACGATGGTTGTCAACTGGGAGACAAACCCGGGTCTCATTGAGACCCCTTGGGGCAACCCAGGGAACACCACAGCAGCAAAAAAATGTTGTTATTTTTTTCGTGGTTAGAACTTGGGGCCCGGCCGGTGCCCCCCTTCCCCGAAACATGGACTGCCCATCGTGCCCCTTGCTCACCTGGGTATGAATTTGAACTGGGGACCGCTTGGACATGGCTGTGGGTCAAAAATATGTACCCCAAATGGAACCCTGGTAAATGGAAAGAAGGACTAAAACCTGCGGTTTCCTGGTGGCTTTCTTTTGACCCATACCCATATCCACCAACGGCTTTGGCTCCTAAAATTTCGCCACAAGCGAACAACTCCCCAGTTCGACTAGGAGCGCGCGTCAGTTGCTCACCCCCTTGGGGGCACGACCAGAGTTTGTCTCGGAAAAAATGGGGGAACCCCACACACGTGCGCACCGGCCTTATTTTTGAGGTTCCCTTATTCATCAACCAAAAAAAAGTTCGGAAACTTCTGTAAAATGTGGCTGTGGGTCAAAACCCTGTAGCCCTGGTGAACATAAAAATAGGTGGTACATGGTGTTTCTCCGCAAAATGGAGGCATAGGTACGTTTCAACCAAAGGGGGGCTCCGAAATTTCTGTAAAATGTTTGCTTTGATTTTTTTCAGAAACAAAAAAGGTGCCACCTGCCACTGGGCCAAGCCGAGGTGCCCCAAACCAAGGCCACTTCCACACAGTTGGTCAGGGGCTCGGAGGCATCCTGGGGCCAGGATCGGCTCAGCCGGGAAGGAACTTGGCTGAAGGATCGCGTGCGAGAGATGCATGAGAAGTGGCTGACCCCCAAGCAAAACCATCCAATTGGTGGTTTCAATTTCAAGGGAATCCCATGCATTCCCTCATTCCCTGCCTGCACCAGCAAGTTGGAGAACCCCCCGGTGAATTTGGAGCTTGGGCCTGGATGATGTCCCCCTTTTGAACAGATTCACTTCACACAGTCTGCATTTCCCTCTCCAAAACCCGCGCAAAGCGGAGAACCCCCGCGAGCGACGTCTTCCGCGAGCTGCCGCGCTCTCGTTGCAGCTGATGCCGGTCGCTCCGAGCCAGCACGAGCACCTGGCAGCCCGTGGGTAGGAAGTTCAGACTGGTTTCAGCACACCGAGCCTCAAAAAGCTGCTGTCTCTTTTAGGGGCCCGCCAAAATGGTGGGGTTCCTTGTTTGTTCCTCTTATGTTTGTTTAACAAACCAAAAAGGGGTACCCTCAAAAAATGACACACCCATTTGTAGAACCACCCGAAAATGGAGAATCGGGGGTGCCCTACAAGAACCGCCAAAGAGAAACAAAACATCTTTACAACACGTTGAAGATTGCACTCTTTCCGAGAAACGAACAGACGGACTACATTCCATGGCGGCCATGTAAACACGTGGTGACCATGGTGGTAGATACTGATCTTCATTAAGTACCCTCTGTCCAACCAAGGTAGCGCAGAAAAGGCTCATGATAGTCCTCCTGTCCACTTCCATACTGCCACAAGGGGTACAAGAAAGGAGTTGTGGGATAGCCCTTCAATATCCCTCCCTGATTGTGCACCGTGCCGGCTTTAAACCGCCGAGTTCGTTTCGTCCGCCTGCCGGTGGCCACATCGCAACTGCCCGCGCCGTTGCAGTTCGAAGGGCAGCGCCGCTCCTCGCAGAGAGGACCACCTGCCGGCAGGGCTTGGGGCCTTCGGACCAGGTTTTTCTTTTTTTTGTTGTTGTTGTTTTTTCCCTCCCCCCCCCCCCCCCCCGACGTTTTGCACCATTTGGACCCCTCTCGAGGGGTAACTGGAAGGGGAACCAAGACCCGACAATTTTGGGGATACACGTAGTTTGATACCTGCCCGTTTGGGGGTAAAGCTTAATTTGGCTGAAACACACCCCGAATCTGAATCTGAGAGAAAAACAACACACATGTATACAGTGGGTGTTCCAAATGGAAAAACAGTCCTTGTCACCTGTCTAAAACTCTTGCGGCTGTGGAAACTCCGCCTGCGAAACGCGTACGTCTGCTTGAACCTGCGAAATGCAGTGTTTCCCATGCGTTGATCTTTTGGCTTTCGAGTGGTATTTGTCTCTGGGCAAACTCGCCTATTGAGCCTAGCATTCATTCAATTCGCAAACACCGACAAGACGGCGCATGCTTTAAATGGCTCGATCCAAGCTTGCCTCACATGAAGGAGAAGCACATCACCATGCATTGCTAATGGTGCTCAGTGCTCAGTATTCAAGCCCAAACCCAGGATTTAATTTCAGCAAAGAGCAAAGTTAGATGTTGCCAAACGTTGGCCCAGGTGTGCTATTGAACGTTCTCTCTGGAAAACCATCCAATACTGGCAGGCGCACCATGGGTAGAAGGGCACTGGCATGCGAGCTCATGGGTCAGATTGTCCGGATCCTGCGCGAGACATGTGGCAACAAGTTCCAAGGGCTTCGCAGCATCTGACAAGACCACAACCTGCAAGCATCTCACGTGAACGTCTCCTCCACACAGCTGCCCCCATTCAGGCATGCTGGGCAAATACGCTGGCTGCAATCTGCACCACCGTAGCCGGCGGTGCAGACGCAGCGCCTCCTGCAGAACAACTCAGCATGCATTCAGCCCTCCGGTGCTTGTCCTACGCAGTTTCTACTCAATTTCAAATGCGGAAGTCGCTCTCCTCACAGAGATGTTCTCACTGGCTGCCAGCAAAGTACAGTGGCCTTGCTGCCCGCAAGGAGGAAAGCCAGGGCAATGGTCCTCACACTGTGATCCGGTCCAGCCAGCATCGCAGCGACACTGGCCAAGCAGTCCATCGCAGTAGCCATGTAGGCAGTCACCTGCAGCCAGCAGCATGTTTGCCATCTCACAATACAATGTGGCATGTCTTTGTGTCATTTGGCGCGCTTGCTGTTCCAACACAATGTCGGGCTTGAGGTGCTGCAAAAGATTATCTTTTTTGCGGAGTCCCTTTTTGGGAACCACAAACTCTGAATCAGCCGACAAACATAGATTCAGTCCCCGAGCCTTGACAAGCAACAGCAGGCGAACCAACCGCCAGTGCATACTGTCGCAGCGTCCCATCGGCTGCAATGACCATCACGGACACATTCACCATATATGGAAGCGGGTAACCTGGACAAGCTCGAGTGTTCGTTTCGTTAAACACAAAAGCCAAGTGACTGGCTGCATAGCCAAGGCAAAGCAACAAGTTCAGTGCAAACTGCTGCGGCCAATGTTACACGCTTTCACACACAAAAATAGAATCATGCTACTTGACAACCGGAATCTCTGCATCATGGCCGGATTCTGCCATTGACCTATTGACCCAAAACAACTCCTCGTCCAAACAATAAAATAAGAGTGATCGGTGGAACTGCCTAGGGAAAGCCAGGCCAAAATAGGCCAATGTATACAAGATAGGAATCACATGCAAAGGCGCTGATGTCAAAGACGTTGCCAGCATTCACGGTGGCTTTTGGGCTGCTTGGGATCCCCAGCACGGAAAATCGGCTGGATGCCACCTGGCGATCACTCAAGAGGTCTGTAGCGTCAGAAACGCTCCCTAGCTCTCAACGGTTACTTTGGGTGGTGCTTTCCCTCTCAACGACCAAAGGGTTCAAATCTCCAAACCACCACTGCAAGCCACCAAGTAGGGGTGTGGTGAAACTTCTTTTTGGACTCCCTAACCAAAGGTAAATTTGAGGCTGTCACTTTCATGGACCCAGTTCAAGGCTGTTTCCGGCTTTGTATCATGTTTCTCTAGGCAAGGTTGATTCAACCACATTACCCGATTCAGCACCAAGTACGGGCGAATCTCGGGAACTCATGAGGGTGTAATTACCCAAAGTCACGGGAGAACCCAATACCCCCCCCACCCACGTTGTCACGGAAACCTGACTGGGGGGTGGTCTGGATGAGATTCTCCCTCTAAGAAAGACATGTTAGTTGGTGGGAGGGTAAGGCTCCCCCAAAAGGTCTAGGGGTTGACACAGCTGCTTTCCCTTTGATGTCGACACTTTTTCTGGAAAGGATCTCTGGAACGAATGAGCCACAAACAATATTCATTGTGCCCCGCGTGAGCCACATATGTGCCTTAATCAGTATTCCTTATGTCCCGCAATGACCCCCCATATTTTGGGGCTCCTGTGGCCGATGTCATCCCCCTTACTGCAAATGACAGTTTTTCGCTGACTATTTTGCAATGGGGAAGATTTGTTTGTTTCCGTACAGAGTCCCCCGCCCCAATGTCCCCCAATTTCATAAGCGCTGGAAATTTGAGGTCAAACTCTGAAATCCTTGTGAATCCTTCTTTGAGGTTTGACGTGACCCATCAAAAAAGAAAACCAAGGCGCCCTTCTGGTCCAAAATTGGGAAGGCCAGTGAACAACCATCTCTTGACTGTGTTCTTCGGGAGTCTCACATCATCCACCGGAAAACATTCTCCCCCAAAAATGGAGCTGTTCCCTTTGTAGCTGTGTCCCTTTGGTCTGGAGAAAGCTCATGTTTCCAATGGCCCGATTGTCTACACGTCTTGCCCTCTCACCTGCACGAAATGGACCTCGTCACTCGGCCACTGAAGCAGCGCCGCTGGCTGCTGGTTGTCTTCGTAGACCATCAACCTGGCCATCGATCGACCAATGCCCTTGAAACAGGGGGTGAAAACGGGAGCCCAGCGGAAAAGCCTCTCTCTCTCTCTCTCTCTCTCTCTCTCTGTTATTCTTTCTTTTTTTACCCATGTGGAGACAGGCCCAAGCGAGCCACAGCGAAAAAGAAACCACAGCTTGACTGCCAGATCCCAGGCATCTAGGGTTCTGACTGCTTCAGGCGTGAGTCCAGCTCATCGGCAAGCCAAAGCCGGGCGGAAGCAACCAGCTCCACGGGAGTCTGAAGTCGTCGAGACAAAGTCTCCGTGGTCTCTGGACTGTCCATTTTCGCTGCCAGGGGCAAAGCAGTGGGATCTTGATCGTGTGGAACTACCACCTGAGCAAAAAAATGCTTTGCAGATGACACATGTCAAGAAATCGGTAAGAGCGTGGGCCTTGTTCAGACATTGATCTGTGGGTGAGCAGCCCCGCTGGAAATGTGTTCAGTTAACTGAAGTGCATGACAGTGCATGCTGCCTGCCTGCACGATCCACACGTCTTCCTCGGCAAGTCGCCGTTGCGGATGTTCAGAACCTGTGTCACAAACGAAAACAGTATCAAGGGATTGCCAAAAAACGTGTAAGTGACTTATTGGGATGAAATGATGGCGGCGGGTTCCCTATTGAAATCCATGGCCACCTCTCACCAGTGGAACCTGCAAGGGTTGGGTGCTCGTTTTGTTGGGTACCCCTCGCACGAACGTCACCTAAAACGGGTTGCCCAAAGAGGATCCTATGAGACCTTAGCCCCAAGGCGGGCTTTGGCGGGCTCACGGGCCATCGAATCCGCCCGAGGAGCGCAGGTGCTGATCATGCTCTTCGGCGTGCAGCGTCAGCACGCTCAAAGGCAGCCCCAAAACGTCCGCGAAGTGGGCCCCTGCGCAGTGCCGCAGTGCCAGCCCAGCTCGTGAGGTGGTGAGTAAAAATATGTTCGCATATCAATGGGTACAGCTAGCAGCTGTTTAGAGATTGAAGAGTGGGAAACAATTACTACATTGTGATGAGTGTCCCCTATGGATACATATGGAAGTGGACAGCCTCCCTTGTCAAAGAAAAGTGGTCTTTCAGAAGGACCTCTCCTTGAGTGAATCCGGACGAAGTCGTTCGGGTCAGTTAGCAACCCCTCAGACAAAAGCAAGTTTATTCGCAAGCCACAAACTCGGGAGGTTTGGGTTAGAACCCCCACCACTAACCTGTAGGGGAAACCAACAGACCCGCATCTGCTTAACAGAGACTGGAAGCTCAAAGAAAATCACAGGTTAGGGCTTGTTTGATTCTGTCCCCAAAGAGTACGCTTACAAGCATCCTGAAAAGGGGAGGTGTTCTGTGATTCGTCGGGTTCGACCCCAACACAACCCAACCTGGAACATCAAGCTGTGACTGAAATGCCGGCCGAGCGTCGCAGCTGTTTCTTCATCACAGACTTGACTCGATATCCTGAGCCAATGGAACCTTGACATGCCCATTGCATGGTGCAGCTTTTGCTTGGCAGTACCGGCAAGGCAAATCAAGGCAAACCAGGACGGGTTTGAAAGGGGAGCCCCATGGGCAGCTCGATTCGCGAAGCCAAATTCCGGTCACTGCCAACATGCATGTGTCAGAACGGGAAACAAACATGTCAAACAGCCCGTTTGCAAAAGCTTGTTGCCAAAAGGGAAACGGATTTCCTGTAAAAGGCACACCTGACCCCGGTAATTGGAGGCCTCTTAAATGCGATTCCTCCCAATGAATGATTCTAGATATCATGCCGAGGTTTGGTTCTTCTGGGGTGCGCTGAAAAAGTCTAGTGACTCCCACCATGTCCCTCCCAAATCGATTGGCTCCTTTCCAGAACCCCAACAGACGTTCTCAAGGAGATTCCTCTGAGTCAAAAGTACCCCCGCTACCCAGTAACAAGACCACCGAATCTGCGGCGGCCTTTAATTTTGAGCCACTCAAGCTGGTTTAACCAACAGAAAGGCAGAACCCAACCCGCCAAACTTTAAAACTCTGACACTTAAAGGCTTGCAGACTCAAGTCCCAAAACCCTATACCCTCAAAGAAGGAGCAAACATGGGTGTCGTTTTTGGAAGGTAGATTTTTACATGGAAACCAAAAGGACCCTTTTCTGTGGGTCCCCTTTAACAAAAAGAAACAGATCCCAGCTTCTTCCCCTGCCTTCACAGAGAGTAGCAATCCATGCACTCGTGAAAACCCTTGCGGTCGATTTACATCTGTTTACAAGACTATTTACCAGGGACATCCATTGATCAACACATCCATTCGGTGTACTGTACATCAATAGGATCATACTGAAATAGATCCAGGGGCACAGAGCAGCGTTACCATAGTGGACACTTCCATAAAAATCAAGTTGCCCCCCCGCCCCACCCAATTTGCCGCTCAAAGGTGCCGGCCACGATGGGCAGCCCCAGGCTGGCCCTCTCCTCCCGCGGCCGCCCGGCGCCCGCGGCCGAGCGCGCCGCGCAGCGGAAGGCCGGGCCTTCGGCGCGGAGGCCTCGTTCGGCGAGGGAGCCCAGGGAGCCCACGCGCCCAGGGCTCGGGTGATGGACGCTCGGGTGATGGGCGCTGGGCCCATTTTGCCCATTTTTGGTAAGGAGTTGAACAGATGTTTAAAAGAAAAGGGTCCAACAAAAGTCGTTTGGAAGAGCCCGAAGCATCTTCATTCTTGCTTCCAGCCCCCTCCCCCCTTCCCCGAAACTGAGGGCAACCCAAGAACACAAGGAAAAAACGCATGAGGCTCAAGTTGGGAAATGTTTTCGACGATTCAAGCCGGGCACGCAGCAGGGTCGCGGTAGGAAGCTCTGACGTACCCTCAGGGGCCACTGTGCTCTCTGCCAGGTCGTTGAAGCAAGTGAGACCTAGGAGCACAGCGATGGTCAGCCTCCCTCCTGGTGGTTTGGATTGGCGGTTTGGGCTTTTCCTGGGTTTCCTCAAAAACCAGCGGTTCAAATCCCAAACCTTCCTTGCCGTCGCAAAAAACAACTCTGACCGTATCCGCGGAGCTTCCGGCTGACATGTCGCATGGGGCAACCGGATCCGAAGGACTGGGCAAACCGATCTCCGCTAAGCGAGCAGCTGGTGATCTCCGCGAAGCCTCTTGCTTCCAAGGACTGCGGAGGCAGCAGCAAGATCTGCAACTCTCCATCTCCTGAGGGAAAACGCGGTGGGATTTCAAAGCGCGCGCCACCGGGGGCAAAAACAACAGGTTGGTTGTCTTCGAAGCTTTTTGCACCCGGCTGCCACAAGGGCATGATAAAATCATCTTCATGAAGGTGTTCTGAAGGTGCTCCTTTAAGAGTCTCCTAGTTGTTTTGTTGCAGAAAATTCGCTCCCCCACCCACCCCCCCACCCCCCAATGTCCAATCAAGAGGCCTGAACAAATACAAGGCCCTTGCTTGAACATACCCCACATGTAACCCAAATTTATGTGCCTTTCTCCACATTTATTGTGTCCTCCGATGACACTGGATTTTGTTGAGTAACCCCATGTCTAAATGTGTTAATTTGGTGTGCCCCATGTCATCCCCTTGACTACCATAGACGACCGTAAATAGTGATCCTTGCTCACATAAGAACAATGTTCGGGATATGTATCCTCGTTGCTGTACCAATTGACAGCCGCTGATTTTTGCACGCCCACTTGGTGGGACCTTGGATACAAGGACAACGCCCTTCCCCCCCCCCCCACGGCCAATCCAATGTTCCTTTGATTGCCGTCCTAAACACGTCAACTCATGTTCGTGCAAAACATGGAACGCTGGCCCCATCCTCTGTCCTTTTCGAGGGTACCTCCTTTTGGTGGGCTCGGAGAAGATTTGGACTCGTTGCAGCAGGCATGAACTATCCTGCACTCATGAACTTGCGGAGTGCTTAAGCAAGGGACCAATATGGGTCCGTCAAATTTTAGAGCACTCCCCAAAGTCATGGGTTGCCTCTTGGTGACCCAAACAGACCATGGTTTGCCTTTTGGCGTCCCTTTAAAACAGACCAAAAAGAAGTACGACCTCTCCTGGGACGACGGCCAAGATCTCCGGCGCCTCCGGGCGCTTGGCCGCCTTCCGCGTCGGCACCGCCGTCGCGTTCCGCGTCGCGTACACCGCTGTGCCGTTGAGCGTCGAGCCGAGGGACAGGCAATCGAAGCTGTAGGACCGGCCTCAGGCGCGGCACACCGAATGGGTGCGGCTTTGGTTTAAGGGGGCCCCCCCAAACAGGGTTTTTAGGGTTTCCCTTTTGACGTTCCGTTTAAAACCACCATTGAAAGGGTATCCAAAAGGACGCCCCCAACTGCCCCCTTGGATTCAGCAAATGATCAGACATCGGGAAACACGGCAATTCTCGGCTAAGGGACCTTCATAGGTTTTCGTATAAGGGCCATGAAACATCGGAAAGCCCATGAGCTGTTGCCCGGATTTCCGGGTCCAGAGCGGAAACTTGTTGGAGTTGCCCTGTGGCCTCACCAGTACCATCTTGCCCTCCCAAACTGTACATATTGCTCCTTTTCTTCCTTAGAGGAACTTTCGTGGGGTGCCAAATGGTAGCCAAAGACAAAAACCGAGTTGCCCTTTCGCACGGGTTTCGTAAGGCAGCCAAAGGGAGCCGAAACCCAAAGTTGGTTGACTTTTGGGTCTGCCCAAATGGTTGTGGTTTAAGTGGGCCTTGCTATAGTCCTGTTGAACCAGGCGGTAGAAGCACCTGGTAAAATGAAATGGGGCAAGTTGGCGCTCACCTGGTTTGACACCAAGCGGTGGCGTTGCCAGTTGTCCCAGTCATATCGTGCAAACTCGGCACCTGGAATCAGCCCGCTGACCAGCACATGCTGCGTGGTTGAGGCACCCAGGATTTCGTCGCCGCCATCCACTCGGCAGGCGTAGCCTCCAGCCTGACCGCTACGGGCATGGCTCCAATTGGCTGTCATGACCTCTACGCTTCCACGCACCTTGACGGGAATGAAGTAGAGTTCAAGGGAATGAATGAGATTCCCACAAAAACCTCCCTCCCAACCCGCCAGCGAAAAAAGAGTCCAACACTTCGCAGCACTCGCAGCACTCAGTCGCTGAGAGAGCTGGCCCCGAGGACACCCCGCGCCCCGCGCCCCGAGCCTGGGAGTCCAAGGTCACAAGAAGAGCTCCTTCCCCTGCCGCGGACACGGAGACCGCGTCCACAGCGGCCAGGTCCTGCCAACATGCAGGAACACTTGGAGGGGTTCGCAAGAGTATGTTCGGGAGCTTGGTTCCCACCATTTATATAGAGGTTGTACTTTAATAGAATTGGACTCAGTTGTATGGGTTCCAAAACTCCCAATGTCATGTGCGTGCTTTAGAAAAAATACTGGATCAAAAATACTGGATCAAACATACTGGATCAACAACGCAACATAAGAACGGAAAAAAGAGCCCAAAGTGTCGATGGTAACCGGAACATTGTGCCCTTGCTTCAGTGTGTCCCTTTGAACCAACCAAAATGGTGATGTCGACCCAGGATCGACAGGACCAATCAACCCCCAGTTGATGAATAGGGGGTGTCCTTGGTTGAGGTCACTTGCTTGCGAAACACTCCCCTAGCAATCCACAAGGTCCACGACATAGCAAGGCCTGGAATGCACTCCGGCCTCATCTGAGCCCAGAGATACCTGGCGGACTCATAGAACTGCCAAGCGGCATCACTCCAGTGTTGTATACAAGCCCATCTCCAAACGCAAGGCACCCACAAAATGGCATGGCCCATTTGTGCAGCCCCCCCCAAAAAAAAAAGAGCATAAGTTGGGCTACAAAATCAGCCTTTTGGCCAAGAATGCTCAAGCTTCAAACTACCTCAAAAAGCCGGCGGCACCCTGAAGGCAGGCCCTCAGAAGGGGAAACATCCGCATGAGCCGTTTCCTGTCGACCGTCCTTCCAAAACAAACCCAAAAGTGCTGGGTTTACAGGGAAACCAATGGGAAACGGGGGGGTCCCTCAAAAAGGGACAAGAGCACCCTCAATCCAAGTCGCAAGTTCGTACGTCGGCATGCTGTCCAGCAAGAAGTTGGCGCCCAGGTGTCGGACGAAACACGACACGACGTAGACCCCGCGCGCCAAGTCTTCCTGTGGACTTTTGGTGGACATCAGAGCTCGGTGGGGATTTATGTCCACCACTTTTCGGGGGGATTTCCCATTACAAAATCTCGCCAGGTCAATTTGTTTCGGACTCAACCAGAGGACCCTACTAGTCAGAGAACCCCCCCCAAAATGAACTGGATGATTTCATTCTAGCAGGAAAATCATCTACTGTAGGGGATCCTCTTGCAGGGTCCTCCGGATTAGCCCGAAGTTGGCACTAGGTCACGAGCATCAAGTCAGTGCCCACAAGACAAACCTTGGGGAGTACTATGGTAAGAGGGTTGCAACCGTGGTAGATGCCGCTTGAAAAGCATCCTGCCCCCTTTTTTTCGCGCGCCAAAGAGGGGTCCAAACCCACTTGTGGAAGCAAAAGGGCAGGGCTCGCGGCATACTTCCGGCTGCGCCCGAATACTAACCCACTGTTGACCCCGGATTCATAAACCCCTCCTGTTATCAGGGGGCATTCCCTCCAGAAGTGGTCTGAATCCAACACCCTGATCAAAATCAACAAGGCGTGTGATTTAGATCCGGGGTTCCCACCCGACCCCGACCAATTGCCCAGTGGCAATGAGCCAAGTCGAGGTATTAGTCTCCGTGCTGCTCTCCAAGTCTGCCACCTCCTCGAGAGCCGTTCGGACCTCACAGCGATGCCACCCCAAGGAGACCAGCGTCACCCGCAGCGTAGTGCCTCGTGGACGTGCGTGTCTTATTATTTTTCGGGGACCACAGAGAAGGGGCGGTGTTCCCTTTGGTTCCGCTAAAAACACCACTCCAAAAGGGGTACCCCCGAAAACAGCCGCACCAGCATGTTTCGTTCGCCCGTTGCTCTCCACTCCACTCCCAAGCTGAAACCAGTAGAACCCATCCATGTTCAACCAAATTCACCTAAAAAGGGACACCTATATGCAGATTTGACCATAAGTCCAAAAGCTGGATTAAGAACTGGATCCCCAAGTAAACAACCTTTCTCATGGTTTTCGCTGGTTATACCCCCCCCCCCAAAGGCAAACGTATACCTCGCCCCTCCCCCGCCTTCCGCCTTCACCTCCACCTTCGGCGCCTTTGGCCGCGCCGGGAAATCCGCCGCCGTCCATTCGCCCCAAACGCAAAACTCGGAGAGGCCCAGGTCGCAGACTTGCAGCGCGCAGCGCAGGGAGAAACCCTCAGAGTCCTGGCAAGCCACATGGATGATGGAACTTGCTTTGGGTTTCCGTAACCAATCCAACAAAACACAAACACACGAGGCGCGCTCGCTGTCAAATCGCACAGGGCATGAAAACAAAAGCCGACGCACCCGAATCAAAGGACATCACAAAACAACAAAACAAACGGCAACACCGGGTCAACAGTTTCAACAAGAGAGGTTGGCAGGTATGTGCAAGCTGGCCAGGCTTGCATATCACCAGATCAAATGGATGTTTTCGTCGGTGGCGGGCCCAAATGATCTGCCGCTACTCCCTGCAAGAATTTTCGCTATCCGGCATGGTGCACAGACGCACAGACACACGGACACACAAACACGCAAACACACAGCCTCACACACACACAACATATATGTATACACACACACACACTTCAACTCCCAAGGGAGGATGCTAATCGTTCGAGTACATCTGATGAGTCTCGAGTACAACTGATGAGTCTCGAGTGGGTATAGGTTCGGCTCACAGTCACTTGGCTTCCGTCTAACAGCGAAAACGTTACCCGAAAGAACAAGAAGCACAAACAGCGCCGCAACCAAGGGGGCCAAAAAGACATTCGGAATCACGGAAAGCACGTACGCCGGATTAATCAGATCCGGTATCCCATGACTGAGGTAGCTTCGTTGAGCGCGGTCCCTCAGTCATGCCGCACTCCCCTGCGACAAACATGATCTCGTCGAGAAAGGTGGTGTCAGGGTAAATCTGACACTCCGCACACGCACGCCCCTCAAGGAGGGGCGAGTACCACTTTTTCGGGGGGGAAAAACACGCGCCCCAAAAGCGGGCGAAGACCCCAACAGAAAACAAACAGAGCAGGAAAACAAAAGAAACAGAAAGGCCCCACGTTGGGTCTCCGCGGGCAAAACCCAACCAAGAAACACGCAAAACAGGGGAACCCGAGTTTAGGGTCACCGCCGAGGGCAAAGAACCCCAAACAGCCCAGAAACCCTCCTAAACCTGCTAAAAAAAAGAACACCGCGAAGTTGAAGAACGACACCACGAACACGCCATCCCTAAACGGGCGAAGAGGAGCAACAGGAAATAGTAGGAAAAGAGGGAGGAGAAAAAGAAGGAAAGAAAGAAAGAAAGAGAGAGCGAGAAAGAGAGAAAAAGAAGAGAAAAAGGGGGTCGAGATGCGTATTTAGGGCGCCGCAGCCCACCCGGGGAAAGGAGAAAGGAAAGAAAGGGAAAGAGAAGAAGAAGAAAGAGAGGAAAGAAGACAAAGGGAGCGAGATGCGTATTTAGGGCGCCGCAGCCCGCCCGGGGGAGGAGAAAAGAGAAAAAGGAAAAGCAATCAAAAGAAGCAGAAGACAAGGAGACAAAAGGAGAAAAGAAGGAAGAAGGAGGAAGGAAGAGGAAGAGGGATGTAGTATGCGTTTTTAGGGCGACGCATCCCGCCCAGACAGGAAAAGAGGATGAAGACCAAGGCTCGAGGAGGAAGACGTCGAATCCCACACGGGGGCGAAGAGGACGGACACGAAATAGCAACGGAAGGGGAAGAAGACGTCAAGCCAAACTACGTGAGGAGGACGAGGAGTAGGAACAGGTAGACGGACAAGAAGACGAAGACGAGGAGAAAGGTGAACAACGCGGGGACAACCAGGCCATCCCTAAGCGGGCGAAGAGGAGGAGGACGAACGCGCGGGTCACGAAAGGCAGCAAGAAGAGAACGGGAGAAAGGAGAAGCCATCCCTAGACGGGCGAAGAACCAGAAGACGGACACGCGGAAGACGAAGGCGAGAAAAGGTGAGACGTAGCTATGAACTGACGGCTGTCTTCCCTTTAGTGAAACCTCGTTCCTGCTTAAACGTGAAGTTCCGCTGGGCTATGATAAGAACGTTGAGGTCAAATTTTCCGGCGAACCGGCCCGGGGTCACACGATGGGTACACCCGAGGTTCCCGCAAGATGGGGCGATCACACTTCAACTCGCAAGGGAGGATGCTAATCGTTCGAGTACATCTGATGAGTCTCGAGTACAACTGATGAGTCTCGAGTGGGTATAGGTTCGGCTCACAGTCACTTGGCTTCCGTCTAGCAGCGAAAACGTTACCCGAAAGAACAAGAAGCACAAACAGCGCCGCAACCAAGCGGGCCAAAAAGACATTCAGAATCACGGAAAGCAGGTACGCCGATTCGGTATCCCATGACTGAGGTAGCTTCGTTGAGTGCGGTCCCTCAGTCATGCCGCACTCCCCTGCGACAAACATGATCTCGTCAAGAAAAGTGGTGTCAGGATAAATCTGACACTCCGCACACACACACACACAGACGCACGCACGCACGCAAGCAAGCACGCACGCACACGCACACGCACACGCAGAAGCACACGCAAACGCACACGCACACGCACACGCACACGCACACGCACACGCGCACGTGCACGCACACGCACACGCACACGCACACGCCCGCGCACGCGCACGCGCACGCGCACATGGGCGATTTCATGGTTGGAACATTACATGGGTTTCCAAAGGGTACAACCACTTCGTCTTACACCTCCTAGCGCTCCCGTACCCTTTCGTAATTCGAATGCATACCCAACTGGAGCAAAAGGGGGGGGGAGGGACTGGGAACTCGGGATCAATTAAACCCTTCGACAGCCTTATGTGGGCCGGAGCTTATCCAGAGACAGCCGAAGGTCCATCAACAGGAACACCACACTTATTCAGGGTTCCTTAAAGGATGCGTGTTGGCCAAATCGAAAGCCAGCTTTACCAGCTGTTTCAAAGGCTTCTACATGTAGTGGACTTTTTTGTGTAGTGTATCCTTTGTGGGGCGCGCGTAATATTTGAACTCAGAAAATGGCAACCACGGAGACACGGAGAGGGCAGCTCCCTGTCACACTGCTGAGGCATTGGGAACAAGAAAGCAATTGCGAGTACTACTGTTTGGCGGACTGGAAAGGAAAACGCGTGTGGGCAGGAAAACAGCTGACATCGCACCTGGCGGTGGCATTCATGATGGCAACGGTGAATCTTTTAAAAGACCCCCCCCTTCTTTAGACCCCCCTTGTCAGTGACTAGTTGAGGTTTGGACAGGGTTCCCAAATGTTGAACGCCACACATTGAATTGATGTTTCAATCACCACCTGCTAGTGGAAATATACGGACCACGGTCTTAGCAGCAAAGGATGGTTGGAAAGCAAAACAGCGGTCTTGACGTTGACAGCAGGGGATCACCTGACAGGACACACTCAGTGCTTGATGGCTCAAAAAAGACTGGCGTCATTTGGCAGTGCGTTTGTATGTTGGTTTTGTCAGGGGATCACTTCCAAAGCGAACACGCGTTTGAGCGGTGTCTAGGTACTATGGGCAGCCGGGAATCTCGTCCGAGAAGACGCTTCAAGGAAGACTAGGAAGGACGCCAATATGTAAAAAAAAATCTGTGAGTGGCGGTTTCCTCGGGGCATGAAGTGGCACTTGCAAATGCAAAACTGGCCGCAAAACAACAGCGCGAAGGGGGACCTGGGCTCAACGTGCGAATGGGGGGGGGGGAGCCAGACCTTTGGACCCGGCCGTGGACCCGGCGGTCTCAATCTTGTGGAAAGACATGCTAAGGGACGTGGGGGAACTGAGTGACATGTTTTTTGTGGGTCTCGAATTTGTCCATCCCTCAATCGACCATAAACGAAACAGGAGATTTCGACAGAACCTGGGAGCGCCGAAGTTGGTTCCACCAAGACGGTTTTACAAAGCCCGAGCTACCCCGTCTCAAACCAGGAGGAACCGAAAACCATCCGATGGTCCTTGGGCCCTCATGTCTCGTTACCCCAATGTGCTCGGGTCCTGGGGCAGAAAGCTGATCACTTCGCCTCGCGGAGTTGCTCAGAATGAGCTTCGGACCCCATTTGGCGAGCCAGAAACCCGCAACTGTTCCAGGGGGAAACAACTTTCAGGCGTTCCTTTCCAGGGATTCTTGGCAAGGGGGATTTTCTCAGAATACACATGGTTTCTCAATGACGGTTTTTATTGAATGGAAATTCAAAAGGAAATCCCCACTTGAGCCACGCTTGCGCTTAAGTCCGTCAGAGATGGAACTGTCAGGCAGCCACCAGTTCAACCTGTTGAAGCTTTCAAGTCAGCTTCCCCTAATTGGTTTCGAGTGGTGGCTTGGTGGCTAAGAGCTGGTTTCCCATTTACCCTCTACAGGAACCAGGGGTTCAAGCTTCCCAAACAAGGGGAATCATAGAGCTTTAGGCGTTCAATGGGTTCTAAGAAATGGCTTCGATCGGATGCGAACAGCACATTGAAATGTTGTCCTTTTCAAGCGATCGAAATCCTTGAACCGGGGTCCCCTGATTTCGTAGTGTTCAACCACATCAAACTTCCAAACCAACGTAACAGGGGTACCCTTCACAAAAGCACAGCCCCCTGCTGACCAAGACAGGGGTCACTAGAATGTCTCCTTCAAAAGTTGATCAATGTCCGGGTGGTGTCCATTGCCCGCTTGAGGATCTAAGAAAAATCCCAAGTATCTCAGCTTCAGGCCTGCACCTTCAACCGTCTGGTTGCCCAAACTGCACCGCACCAGGTCGGTGTCTGCCAAGGTCGCCTCCGGGAGCCCGCCTCGGGCGGTCAATTCCCCCGCCCTCTATTTGAACATGGGGCAAAAACATGGTTAAAACAACCACCTGTTGGTTTCAAGGGCAGCCTTGCTTGATTCAACATGGCTGTGGGTCAAAAATGGGTACCCCAAATGAAACCCTGGCAAATGGAACCAACGACTAAAACCTGCGGTCCCCTGGTGGAAATTTGGGCTCATGCCCACATCTTTTTGCCCCGCCCACCTTTTGCCCAGCGGAAGAAGGTGATGCTGGGAGTTCCCGGGTGGACCAACGGGCGTACCGGACTGGTGGCGGGAGAGTACGAGCTCGCGAAGCTCGCCCCGGTTCCGCTTCGCGAGCTCGAGATGGAGCAGGCGAAGGTGTACTCGACGTTTGGGTCCAGGCCACGCACCACGGCGCGCCACTGGTTGGCTGCGGCCACAAACGCGGAGTCCTGGGCGGGCCCGTGTTTTGGACGCTCTCTTTTTTTGGGGGGGAGGGGGGGGGGCTTGGTCAACAGGGGGATCGAAAGGGAAGCCGCCCATGTTTATTGAGTTACTTTATTGGGGGAGGGGTTCCCTATGTTGAGACACTCCTCACTCAGCACCTCGCCGGGAGCAGATCTGCAGCGCAGGCGGCCCAGGGGCAGCGCGCCGCTGTCGCCCTCCACTTGGCTTGACACCAGCAGCTCCACGGAGCCGTGGTGGCCGACCTCACGCGCATCGGCCAAAGCCATGGGCCCTCCGAAAACCCCCCCGGACCCACAGATGTCCAGGAGAAAAAAAGAATCGACATCCCCTTTTGGTTGGTTGACTTCAAAGGGGAACCCTTCCGACAAAAGGAAAAAAAGGCACCAGGAGCACAGGGGATGCGACAAATCAGAGCGCCACTCACAAATGGTCTGGACGAAGAGACCAAATGATGTGTGTGGGCTCACCAGACTTCAAGTGCCAGCTAAGAAAAGTTGGGTCATCATTGATCGTCGAATCATGGATACAACCTTGGCGCAGCAAACACACGTCGTCAACAAACTGCAAACACGTCTGGATTCACAGAGCTGCATTTCAATGACATTGCAAGCGCCCAAAAAAAAGAAAACAGTGCCACTGGCAAGGCTATGGCTGGCCCTTTGGACACTCAGCCCAGTTGAAGCATTTGACTTCTCCTAAAGACATTGTCATGAAAATTCAAATCCACATGCCTTGTTCGTTAGCATTAGCAGCAAATGCGGCGTGTAAGCAGAACAGCATGATTGTATTCTTCCTCCATCCCTTTATCGCTCTTCTTTGAATGCCAGCCACCTTCTGGCGAGAGTTTATCACTCTTTGGTTAAGGATTAAGGTTTCGGTTGGTAGGTTTCGGGCAGGTATAGGTAGGGTGTTTTAGGATTGGGTTAGGGCCTGGGGTCGTTTAGGGTGGGTTTAGGGTGAGTTTAGGGTGGGTTTAGGGTGGGTTTAGGGTGGGTTTAGGGTGAGTTTAGGGTGGGTTTAGGGTGGGTTTAGGGTGGGTTTAGGTGGGTTTAGGGTGGGTTTAGGGTGGGTTTAGGGTGGGTTTAGGGTGGGTTTAGGGTGGGTTTAGGGTGGGTTCAGGGTGGGTTTAGGGTGGGGGGTTAGGGGTATGTGGTTTCGTGTTGGGTATAGGGGGGGGGAAGTGTGGTGGGTGTCAGGGCGGGGGTAAGTGCTGTTGGAATGGCTGGGATTGCCTTGCTAAGCCTTTCAGGTTTTGTTCCATACAAGTTGGCGGGTACCCGTGTTGTGTTGCTGAAAAGCAAAACCTTGTGCAGGGTCCTTGAACCCACGGAATAGGAAGCCGGATTTAATCAGCCCCTGATTAGCAGGGCGGGTATCTTATTCTGGAAGGGATTCAACACTTTCCAGGGAAGCATAAGGCTGATTCATCTGGGGGCGGCATTGCCTTTTCGACTTTCTGCCTTTCCGGTCGGTCGGCTTCCAAACAACCAGCAACAAGGAAACACTTTCTATGGCAATTGCCTGTAGAGTCTTACTTCAAAACACCATCGCCTGCGCCAGCTACGTAGCTAGCCACCCTGGCTATAACCTGAACGGGGACCCACTTAGTATCAGCATCCCTCTAATTGGTGGTTTGGATTGGTGCGCTGGCTGGTTTGCCCGTTCAACCTCTACAAAAGCCAGGGGTTCAATTCCAAACCACCACTCTAAACCACCTAAGTAGCCTTCAAATGGGTGTGGGGTCAAAAATCGGGTAACCCCAAAATGGGTTGCCCGATTTATGAAAACCAGGAGAAGAAAAAAAGGAGAAAAAAAGAAAAAAAGAAGAAGAAGAAGAAAACGCGGTGCCCTGGTTGAATTTTGACCAAAGTAGAACCCCCAGAACACCGCCGCGGCGCCACCACCGGCGGGCTCCTCAAACTGGGCGCCATGGGGTCGCTCGCGACTCGAAGGGCTGGCCAGCCTACGTGACGCGGAGGCGGAGCAAGGCGAAGGGCCGCAAAAGCGCCAAAGAAAAGAAGAATTAAAGAAAAGAAGACCCGGGCCACGCAGAAATTTGGCCATGGGTCAAAATCCAAATCGCACCCCCAGTGAACATCCCAATCCCCACTAAAATAGACTAAGATGGGTGGTGCACCTACAATTGGTTTTGACCCACAGCCATTTGGCCCTGGAGAAGAAGAAGAAAGGAGTCTGTTTAAGACTTGGGATGGTTCAGTGGTACAGATCCAATACTAGTTGTCCACCCTTGTGGGCTGGTCATTGTTTTGGGGCTCGGAGCAACCTTGGCAAACGTTCTCAAGAACGAATGATCAGTTCAAAAATTACGTGAACCAGGTGAAGGTTGATTTACTCAGACAAACAGGTGTCCCCCAAATCTGAGTGCGAGGAAAACACGGATCCCTGCAGCCGTCGCCTTTGCCAACCTCTGGTCTGGATATTGCACCAGGGCCTGCTGCGCCCACCGCTCGCACCTCGGCTTGTGCAAACACACGGCGCAGCGCTCCCCAAAAGTAAAGGATTCCTCCTTGATTTGGAAAACCCCTAGTCAAGATATCTGTGCTGGGCTCCAACTAGAACCGAAAACATGCGCTGCATACAGCACATGGACAGCATGGACAGTTGAACCAGTCTGAGCACATCGGTGCGCCAGAAAATTCCTCCCACGTGTTGTGTTCAGCCTCGGCGCAAAACAGGAACCGTGCAGCAAACACCCGCTGCTGGACGGGGGCAAGAGGGTTTGATGTTTGTTTGGCCCTCAGTGCTGCCCAGTATTGCCCTGACAAGCGGATTCAGCTTTCTACAACAACCGGCACATGGGAGGAGGAAAAAACGGAAATGGCTGAATCAAAAAGAGGTTGAACTTCCCACTTTGTCAGGGAGAAAGACAAAAAAGGCCACAAAAGCCATCTTTCCTTTCTCAGCCCATTCCCCAAATCCAAGAATCCCAACCCCAAATCCCAAACCCCAGCCCTCCGTCTCCCTTTCCCCGGCTCCGTGGCGCAGCAAAGGTCCAGAGGCCGTCGCTCAAATTCCCCAGGACCATCCGGCAGCAGCCGCCCGGCAATGCTTCCAGCGCGTTCCAGTCCCAGCAGCTCGCCTTGGCTGCCCGAAGAGAACGCGAGCTCCGGATCTCAAAGTCGCTGTCTGAGAATTTGAACTGGGGACCCTTTGATGGACATCAGACCACTTGTGAGGTGGTTCCCTTATCAGAATTCATGGCCGTTGTATAGAGCGTGTTTCAAGGCAAGCCAAGCGCAAACCACCCATGTGGGTTGAAAATTTGTGTTCTTGAGAAGCTATATGTGACATGGTCAGCACCACGAACCGACATTTATGTGCCATGGTAATGTCCCGTGTTGGTCAAAATACTTGTGGTAACATTCGCGAAATGTGGGTCATGGACATGTTTGGCTTACTGTCGATGGACAAAATTCGCTTCGCAGGTGCTATGTGGGTGTGCCTTTTTCAGGGTTCCCTGTTTTGTTTGTGGTGTTCCAGGAGCACCAAAAGAAGAAAAAAAAACATTGCTAGGGTGGTCCAACCTTCAGCCCGCAAGAGGTGGACCCAGTCGGCTCTTGGCTCAACGCTGCAACAGAACCACCTACTTATACTGGGTGTAAATGACTTGGGAGTATGTAAACGACCCCGTCCGTAAAACTGCTCCAAAGTCATCAGGCAATCCCAGAAACCCTTAACGTCCAATGTATATTCTTGAAACTGCGACTAAGTCGTGTGTCACCAAGATTTGGGGGAATCCAACCTTGAAAAAGACACAACCAAAATGGCAAGAGGTTTCGGGCATTGCCCCCAACCATCTTGTGGGGACCACCATCATGAGTAGCATTTAGCCCCCAATGCTTCAGTCAGCAAATCTTCTTTAAGGTCACGTGATGATCAGCACCAAAAAACTGCTGACTTTTGGCTTTACCAAGATTTAGCCCATACTGTAACCCTTGTGAAACCAGGTAGGAACCGAGCCGCCTACTAAAACGGCCCATTGGAATCGGTTTGGGTGCTGCTGCGTTCATGCCCCAGCTGCAGGGTGGCAAGGGGTGACCGCATAGGTGGCGGACAGAATCCCGGAGCTGGCACTGGCGGCAACGCCTGCAAACTGACACCGCGCCGTGCTTGATGTGATGTCCTCTGGGTCCACTTAAGTGGCATCCCCCGAATCACCCTCTGAATGGTGATTTAGAGGGAAACCACTCCAAGAGTAGTTCACCCCACAAAGTGACTTTAAGCGACTCGTGCATCGCCCCGCCTTGGAAACCATCTGGCAGCTCAGCTGGCAACGCGTAGGTGACCTGCACACCCACACCCACACGCACACACACACACACACACACTCACACTCACACTCACACTCACACTCACACTCACACTCACACTTACACATCACACACACGACACGACACGACACGACACGACACGACAGGACACGACACGACACGACACGACACGACACGACACAACACAACACAACACAACACACCACACACACACACACACAGACATACAACCCACACACACACAACCTTCGCAGATTGCGAGCCAACGGATCTGCGAAAGTTGCAATCAATCTGCAACTGTCTACGGTTCCAAAACCCGAGGTACCCTACTTTCCTTTCGGGGAAAAGTCCAGTGCACTTCCATGTTTGTTGGAGAGAGGGTTCCCTGAGACAAGGGTCTTCATCGTCTTCTGTTTGTGCCCCAGAGCTCGCAGAGGCAGATCCATCCATCTGGCCTCGATCTCCCCATGAGCAGCAACCGCCCGTTGAAGTTGCACTGCGCGAGGTTCTTCCGGCGCTTGCCTGAAAAGGTGTTTGTGGCTTCAAGTCTCTCCCTTAGGTGTTCTTTTGGGAAAATACATGGCCCTTCAACAGGTCAACCGGGAATGGAAAACCAAAAAGGACACCTATGATCTGTCCGAATTCACCCAACTGTCCCCAAATTCTGCAACCTCTCCACCTGAAACAAGAACCACTGCTTTCAGCGATCTGGCGGTAAATATGTCTTGTGCCCGTGCAGCTCTTGACCCCGGCTTGCCTCTCAATTCCCAGCCAGTAGACACTGGAGCGGTTCAGCCGAAGAGATCGCACTTCAACCGTGACATTGCTGGCCCCGGCTGCCAGCGAAATATTGCGTGACAGCTCAAAGGCAGAATCCAGCATCTGTCCGTCTACCAGGACCTGCGAAAGAAACAACTGGACCAAATGGCTGGCGTCTGGGTGTATGGGTGTACATGTGAGAGTGTGTGTGTGTGTGCGCGCATGCACGTATGTGCGTAAGTACAGGCAGGCGTACGTACCTAGATACGCATGCACACGTATCCATGCATGCAGTTCCCTACACTTGACTCTACATGACTGCCTCAAATTAGGGGGCTTCCAATGCTTCTTTGTCCATCCCTCGTTTGTCCCAAGACACTGGACACTCCGCGCCTGCAATTCTGCTTGGACGCCCATCTGCAACTCCACCTGCGCGGTGCCATACGGCACCTGCACCGCGTAGGACGCATTTGGCCAGCCGCTTGGGGTGAAGGGCGGAACCACAAGGCCGCCAGCGGGAGAGATGTGGCCAAAGGGGCGCACAGCCAAAGCCGATAAGGTGGGTGGCGCCAAGACCGCCGCCGTCACCTGCAAACGCGCAAAGTAATGTGAACTTTCGGATTAATCCGGAGGACCGCACTAGTCAGGGGGGTTCCTTTTAGTAAGGAACATTTATCTGTACTTGGGGGTCTAAAAGTCCGGGTCCTCCGGATTGATCTGAGGTCAACATTATTCAAAGGGCTCTCTCGAAACAGGATTCCTGGATTGGATGTCCCATACCAACTTCACGAGCGGGGAACTCGGAAACTGATGAGCTTCACGCTGCCCGCCTGCAGCCTGACTTCCTTGGATCGCAGGAGTCAGGCACCATATGGGTGTCCCCAAAAAGAGGGACCCCTGAAAGCGGTTGCTTTTCTTTTGGCTTCGCTTTAAACAACACCCAAAAAAGGGCCCAAAAAGTGTTGGACACCCCCAAACCTTTGTTTCCCAAGAGGAGATGGAAAGTTTGGGTGGCCCCTTTCTATTTTAAAAATACACCCCCTCAGCCAACATCTCAACTTGGTGAGTTGTTCGCCGACAGCAAAGCCGGCACTGCATTTCTTGTTGCTCAACACAGGTAGGTGCACCAGCCTTGCGTACACGAGGCTTCGGCACAGCAACATCCATCGCAAAAAGGGCATCTCACTCTGAGGAACCGCAAAGGAACTCCCGTTCTGATCGGGCTCTCACACCTGCAAGTGTGTCGCAAAATAGGGCCTCCAAAATCAATGGGTGTCCTTTTGCTGTTTCCCATTGCGTCCAGAAGCGGTCCAAAAGGACACACCTGGCCCGGTCTGCCCAGGCTCCGAGCTTCCGGCACGTATGGCCACCTCCGCCCGGCCACTCCATCCGACGGCTCGCCCGGCCCAGCGCACCAAAAACCGCAGCGCCTGCCCGGAGATCTGGACATCCGTCCCATTGAAGCGGCGCGCGCCTCGCTCGGGCGGAAAGAAACACGCCGAAAAAGGGGGGGAAGTGGTTTAGCCAGCTTGGATTGCTGGACTCTTCCCCTGTGTTTGCTTTGTGGCAAAATCGGGTGCCCCCCCCAATCGAAAAAATGCACCCTGTTTGAACCAACCCAAAACACGTTACCCTCAAAAACCAGCCCATATGCAACCTTAAACAAGGTGGCTGTAAAGCCAGTTCGGATGGATTTGCAAGGTATCCTCCAGTCCCATCTGAAGACAACACGTGGCTTCCATCCCCGCCTATGGAGCCGCCGACATCAAGCAGCGCAAGCCAATCCACATCCACTTCGGCTTCCCAGGTCAGCGCAGCATCCTCGAAACTCGGAAGTCGAACTCCAATCGATCCCCAAATTTTGCCGGAAGAACCCGCCCCCGTGAGCTGTTGTTCAGCTCCCTTCTGGCACCCTTCCCCAGCGTGTAGAAACAAGACAACGCAATTCTGCTGTCCCTTGAATCCGAAAACAAAATGAGCCACACCCAAGCCAGACCCGAAGTTTCTCCGTGCTCTTTGCTCACAAAAGATCAACAGGGGCCACAAAACATGAGCCAAACCCAAGATCTGACAAAATCCGGGGTCCCAACAAGATTGCGCCACACCCAAACCAGCCCCAAACTCCATCTCAGGCTCGCCCACGTTGCTGAGCCAAGCGATGTTCTCCTCCGGCATCTCCCAGGCCTTGGCTGCAACGAGATGGTTACAGGTTTGTAGTTTCCATAGGCTTACGATAACCACCAGGCCAAGTAGTAGAACCATCTACTCAAATGGCCCCAGGGTTTTGGGCAATGCTCAAATGGTAAGCCGCTCCATTTTTGGGGGGGTTGGGAGACGAATTGGGTGGAGCTTGAAACGTATTTTGTTTGCGGGTACCTTTTCGAATGAGCGGGATTCAATTGAAAAAAACGGTCCTCGATGTTAAGACACGCCCAGCTGATTCAGACGGGCACGAAGTGCAGGGCAGGCACGCAGCATTGCGGGGCGATTTATGTCCGGGTGGTCCAAACCGTTAAAAATCATGGCTAGGTCAGATTTCATGACGTCAAATGATCATCTTCACCAACCGAAAGTAAAGGACCCCAAGAAAGAAACTTTTGCAGTGGGCGGCGTCGCAGGCCCCCCTAGCGACGTCACTATTCATAATGCGCAAACAACATGCAGTGTGCAACTCTGGAAGAAGCCCTTAGGCGCAATCAAGCCACAGGAACGTGTGTCGCAGTTGGCTCGGCTGTGCGCACCAAGTTCACCTCCGGATCCATCTGAAGGGTGGCGTTCCTCCTGGCAAAAAAGCTTGCAGGCGGCAACCATCCAATAGACCAGAACTGGTGGGCGAACATAAATACCCCGCCGCAGGGCGGCCACGAGCTCTCGATTGCGCAGCGCCCAGCGTTGTTCCAAAAGCGGTTTAGACATAGTATATACATGCATATGTTCCATCGTTGGCAAGCCCCCGCTCGAGTCAGGAGCATCAGGCCCTCGCACCGTCCTGCGGTTGGGTTGCAGTAGAGTTTGCTTAGGGTTGGTCGGTTTGTCCAGGGTTGGTTTAGGGTCGGTTTAGGGTTGGTTTAATGTTTTTTAATGGTTTTGGGGTTGGCTTAGGTTTGGTTCAGGCTTCGTTTAGGCTGGGCGTTAGCTTGGTTTTGCCTTCGGTTTGTCATTGAATCGGAATACCCTAGGAAAATGTCCACAAACAAAAATGGGGTGTGACTCTCATATTGCACGCCCCGTGCTAATCAGCCAAGCTGCAACTCCTAAACATATTCAAACCACTGTTTAAACATCATCATTCAGGCGTGATTTCTTGTTGAGAACCCTTTGGTAGACGTAATTCAACGGGGATATCCGTTCAGCCCAGTTTTTTACAAGTACCCAGATTCATGGCCATCAAGGCTTCCCTAGGTAGGGGGGATGCCCCAAATTCTTGACACCAAAGCACCAATGCCTATTTGGCTGTGGGTCAACAACAGGCACCCAAATGGAACCCTCATGGAGTTTCCATGGACCAAATCCTGCGCCCCAGTTCCAGGTGACAACTTGTTTGACCCCTCATTCTTCATGACAACCACCTCTCCTCTCCACGGAGCAGGCGTATCCCACGAACTTCGGGAGGCAATGACAGGCACCCGTCGCCCCGCACGTGCCGTGCCCGGAGCATGGGACTTCACCTCCGTCGGCTCCGTCGGCTCCGTCGGCTCCGGCTCCGTCGGCCATGACTCGGCGCCGAAGGGCGGCGCTGCTTTGGAAACTCGGACTCGATATGGCAAGAAACCGCGAACTGACGTAGAATGCTGTAGATGTGAATGGCTATTTTTTTTGCGATATGGCAACATCGCGAAATCTACCGGCAACATCTCAATATGGCTTTTTTGCGCGGTGGATGTTGTTGCGACGTGAATGAAATAGCAAGAGCTTGGCGAGCATATGTGGATGGAAAACCGCCCATTTGTAAGGTTGGTAGTCGCCTATCTCAGAGAACGCAGCATAACGCACCCATTTGAGTTCGGAAGGGTGTGGCCATCCTTCGGGAATTGTGTCCAACAGCCGCGTTATGTCAAAGCCAAATGATCATTGATTGATATCTTCAACAAGCCAAAGCATCGACCCTCCAACCGAACATTGCTTGGTGCACTTCAGTACTTTCCACTGGGCCAAATCGAACACATGGACCCCTCCCCAGTTTGTTGATCCCTTGCTGAAATTACACTTCTGGTGGGATATGTCATATTACCGATGCCAGTGGATGTGTTCGCAAAACGACCCCAATTCATTTAGGTCTAGCGGACGGGGTTTGCCTCCGCAGTCTTCCCACACGCAAACGGGGTCCTGAATCTGCAAATGTGCTTCTCTCGGGTTGTGATTGGTATCCCAAGCACGGTCATTGTATTTTAAGCCATTTCAAAGGGTGTAGTTGCTCCTCTGAATTGTTGCCGTGTTTTTGACTGTGCAAAATGCATTATTTCATCCTTCCTCCCCTGCATCCGCCGCATCTCCTGCATCCTTAGTGTTGGTATTGGGTTCCGGCGGATTAGAAAAACTGTGTATTGCTCTCTTGGGACTCAAAATCTATGGATCTGTCTGCAGTTGTCCTGGTGTTTCTTGCTTTGGCTGCAATGCGTACATTTGCTCAGCAACAAAAGGCCTCTGAATATCCCTGATAAGGTGCCGTGTTCGAGATTCGAGAGAAATGTGCTGGGTGCAAATCGTGAGGCTCTGTGACCAACAAAACAACTCCCTCCCTGAGAAATTTGTTAGGTGCGCATTGCGAGGCTCCGTGTCCAACAAAAATCCTCCTTGAACATCCCGAAGAAATGTGTTAGTCACAAGCTCCAAACCCTTAACTGGTAGTGTCGATGGAGAAAATGCTGCACCGTCCACCAATCCCGACTGGTGCAGCATTTTGTGAATCCACATGCCTCTTAAGCCGAGGTGCCTGGGCAGTCACTGGAGTTGCCCGAAACCGTGCTGGGGTTAACCGCCGTGGAAGAGGAAGCGGCCCACTCCGTGTCCAAGCTCTCCGCCGAGAAGACCTCCCATGAACGAGACGAAAATTTGGGTGTCTGCAAATAACGATCACACGAAGCTTCCTTTTGGTTCCCCTTGAAACCAGCCTCAAGAAAAGACATGCCAAAATCCCCTCCCCCCTTCCCAGGAAGGGTTCTCAGAAACCTTCGATCACGCCTAGCGATTCCCAAGGCATCTCGATGGACCGAAATAAGCCCTCCAAGGTTCTTCTTTGGAACCTCTCAGGCGGGGGGAGGGGCCTTTGCTTCCAACCTTCTTTTCCATCCTACTTGGTAAGTTGTAACTATGGGTACAAATGGAACAACGCGAGTTGGTTGATTTATGACCATAGTTGCAACCTGCTAAGTAGGATGAACATCCGAGTAGCAATGAAAGCAGTTTGGTAACAGCTGAGAAGCACGCCCAGGCACAACTCACATTGGGCGTGCAACATGGATACATGATTGACCTTGGAAAACATATTTCAGTTAATATACCATTCCGGCGCAAGTTCTCAACTCGCCGTGCAGGAGGTGTCTCCTTCGGCCCCAACCTGACACCACACCATTTCAGGTCTGACTCCCCCACCATGGAAGATGCCCAAAACACCAAGGAATGAAAGGCTGTGGTGGGTTCAGCCCCATACGGCGGGCCACACAAATGAAGTTTCCAGAAGTGGTGTCCTTTTAGCTTCTCTTTAGAGCTACAAAACATCCACCCCACTAAGATGACCCTGTTGGGGGGTTGGGCGCTCAAACGGGAAAGTGTCACGGGCACACCCAAAATTGCTGCCCAAAAAGGGTCAGACCAAAGCTCCGTGCCTTCCAGCATCTTAGCATCTTACCCTGCTTCATCCCCGCTGCAATCCCCACCCTTTGCTCCATGCTTCGGTCGTCTTGGTTTTTCTTGGTTTCCAGGCAAACCAGACAAAAAGAACACGTCTTAGCATCTTAGCATCTTCCTGGAGCGCTGAAGGACCCCTTGTTCTTTCTTGCCCAGAGCACCCCCCAAAAAAGGGATACCTTTGGCAAGATCCTTGGTCAGTTCAAGATCTTTGGGTTGGTTTTCTTTCCAAAAAAAACTAGGGGGTTGATCAAAAGGTCCTTTAATGTTAGAACGTGATTAGTAAACCCCCTCGAAGTAAAGACCCCCGGTTTTCCTAGCCGACTGCCAGCCAATACTACTTTAAAGGCGCCAACAAGGTTTGGCCAAAAAAAAACTCTTATTGTTTGGGGGGCACCTCCCAAACCCCCCCCCCCGAACTGAGATTTTTGGGAGGACCCCCCTGATTAATCGAGCCCCTTCGGTCCTCGTCCTCTTGCTTCTGGCCACTTCTGGGCAGTAAAACTTTAAAAGGCAACAAAGTCTTTTTTGGTTTTGAGCCCAAAAGGGCCCTGCTTAATCGTGGGGGTTTTCTGTTAATGAGGGGGGGCTGGCCTTGAAGGGGGGTCCGTCCGTCCCCTTTGTGAGCTTGAAAACCTTGTCACTAGGATGTGGGGAGACTTGTGAGAGCGATTAGGACCAGCAGCAGGCTGTGCCAAGAACAAAAGGATGTTGCTGCTGCTGGATTTTTCTGGGGGGATCAGGGGGGCGTCTTTAATCGGGGAGGGACTTGTCAAAACCTTGTCAACCTTGAGGGGGGAGGGGAGGGGGGCGGGTTCATTAATCATGTTCCTACATTACATGGGATGACAATGGCTGGGAAACCACTAAAACAATGATGTGGCCCACCTGGGAACAGCGTCCCATGGTCAAAACTGGGGGCGCCCATCCGACGAGACTTCTCTCGCTTCCGCTGCCGCTGCCGCTTGCCTCCGTGAGCAGCGCCTCGAGGCGCCCAGCGTTCACCGTCTCCGGGAAGATCCGCAGCTCTCCTCTGAGAACAGGGATCCTTACATTATACACCTGAACGGCGGGAAAAGCCATGGTTCAACTGGGCAAAATGTATCTTTTAAGGAGCCCTGGAGAAGGAGGGCTGCATGTTCGACGATTTGAAAAAGGTTGAAGTCGACGTAATTTGCCGGTGGAGAAGTCAGGGCCCAAAGTGAAACCTAAGGTGGTCAAAAGGGAAATGGAGGAAACCTATGTAGGAGCCTGTCATGTTTTTGAGACCCTGTGTTTTGAGAGCCGATGCCCACCCCTATGAGACTAGGCACTCTCACATGCTCACTATGCATTCTGCCAAAACCAGAACACGAGAACCCCACAGGCCCTTGGGATCCACGACTTTAAACGATGTGCACAGAACAGTCTCCAACAACACAACATACGCGCATGGCGCATGACGATTTTGCTGTTTGCCCTTTGCTCCCTATTAGGGCAAAGTTCCAGCTTATGCTTCTTGCCTTCCATGGAGGTTGTGATGGTACTGTCCCTGGGAATGGCTTGGGGGACAACCCAAATGATACAGCCCTCAGCCGTCAATGGCCACGAGCGTTCCTCAAGCTCCGGCAAGTGAGTCCCCATCGGTGGATGGTCCAGTTCAAGCCTTTCCTCAAATGCGTTCCCCCATTTGAAGATACGATCAGATATGAATCACTGCCAGATTGGCTAAATTAAAAGATTCGAACTTACATACACCGTTGGGCAATTCAAGCGCCACCCTAACAAACAAAACCAAACCCCCCCGGGAAGAGCAAACTTCTTATGGTTTAGAAGGGTTCTCAGAACCATTCTGGTAGGGCCAATGATAATCCCGTCTTGAACTAAGGCACCCAAAAAATGGCTGGTGTCCTCCAGGTGTCCCTTTTAACGTCATTTGGCTGTGGGTCAAAAAGATGTACCCAAAATGGAATCCTGGTAAATGGAAAATGGACCAAAACCTGCGGTCCGATTCGTGGCATAATTTTGACCCGTACCCATTTCAAAAAGGGATCAAACCCATGGATTCTCGTCTCGGGCTCCTTTGGCCAAGGTGAGGCTCGACACCGTCATCCACGCGCCCAAGACACTGATCAACATTGACCTTGATCACTCGGTCGCTTGGCTGAGCAGATTCACATATCAAACTCAACAAGTCCTCAACAAAAAGGCGTTCCTTTAAAAAAAATCGACGGCTCTGTGTGTTCTACGTAACTTCATCTGCAGTGTAGCGTAAAAGCTGCCTTTTTTTGTTCGGCGCCAAGCTGCTGCGTGCGGAGAAAAAAAAAAAAAAACATGGGCCGGGTGGCAACAGCAGCCAGCACGCCCAGCTGCGCGTCAACAGGCGGTGGAAGGGGCCATGCAAGAACCGCTCGAGGCCGTTCAGCTGGTCTTCATCGATGTCCCGCTGAATAAGCACCTGGTGTTTGTGTGTGTGCCTATTTTCTTGATGGTACACTTTTCGGGGGTGGTTTGCAGGCGAACAAAAGGACAACCATCCATCTTGAGGAGCCCCTTTTTGAAGGCAGACCCAGGTGAACTTTGACTGGCGTCTCTCTTTTTCGAGGGTGCGCGTTTTGGGGGGTTGCCCAAAGAAAAACCAAAAGGAACGCCTGCCATTTTGGTGGGTCCTGCCAAAGGCAGCCCTTCTTAGGGGGTTTGATCGTGTTTGTGGGGGAACCAAGCAACAACGGATTGGCCCATCAAAGTCACCTTTGTAAGCAAGTTCAAGGGGAACAACCCCAGCTTCTCACTGTACCCCTTCAAGGCTCCCGATGTTTCCCCAATATGGGTATGTGTCTATGTTCTGTCTTTTGTTGTTTGTTGTGTTTTTGGGGGGAGGGGGGGGGGGTTGAAGAATAACGTGTGTCCTGTTAGTTTCCCTTTAAACGAAACCCAAAAAGGGTACCCTCGCAAACATGCCCGCAAACATAATATGTATGTTAGTCTGTGTCTATGTATGTATATTGTGCGCGTGTGCCTTTTTTTGAAGATACCCTTTTTGGCGGAAACAGGCTGGTAACAAACCTGCTACTTGTGGTGATTTTCTTGCTGTTTGCTGTTTGAGGGGAGATGGGGGCGGGGGTGGGGGGGGGGGAGGGAGGATGTTAACGTCGTTACGAAAGGCTGCCGTGCAAGTGCCACTGCACACAGGGTGATGCATCGCCAACGTTGGTTGCAAATGCTGGCAAAAAGCATCTGCAGAGCCACCATGTCCATCCCAGCAGACATGAGTTTGCTGGAAGAGTCTCTATGACGAGGGGAGCACGCAAACCCGCTTGCTTCATAGTGGGGACTCAATGTATAGACAAATGGTGGCACGACCGTCTGCCCAACTCAGCTTCACTCTACTGTGTTTCGCTACAGGCATAGCTTCGTTTGGAGGTATCAGCTTCCCATCAGAAGGATTTCTGCCGTGCAGTGGCTGCGGCTTGTTGATTCAGATTTTCGAGCAATTGGGTTGCAACTATGAAAAAGCATTGGGTGTTTGACAATTATTGCATAAAACAATGCTGTCCTAATTCTCCCGTTCACTGCCAAGCATGAGAGAGACGACTAATTGCACAAAAGCCAGAGAAAAACACGTGTGACGCAGCTTTCACCTCCAGGTCTTGTTAACAGCCTGTGACCTTTTTGGTGTGGTCCAGAGGGAAACCCAAGAAGAACCACCATTTGGGTGTTCCATATCCTACTTTGAGACAAGCCCAATATGACATGTCATATGTCCTTCCAGGTTCTTCACCACACCGGACGAGAACCTGTGAGACAAACCAAAGCCGCCTTGACGCTCGCCCGCGATGCCAAAGTCCTGGCTTGAGCATTGAGATCCTTACAGGTGTGTTTTGTGAGGGTATCCTTTCCTGGTGGGTTCCAAAGGGAAACCAAAAGGAAAGCTACCATTGTTGCGACCCCCCGATTTTGACACATGCCCATGCGCATTTTTTTATGTATATATATATATACATACATATATATATATATATATATATGTATATATATATATATATATATGTATTTGTGTGTGTACGTGTGTGTTTTGTTGACCTAAAAGGGAGGGGTTCCCCTCTATTTTGACACAAACCCGTCTCCATGTCCCTCTCATAGACTGGATGTTTTGACCAAACCCCGGATTTCTGAAGATTGGGAACCCTTTGGTGGCCATGACTTTCATGGGCATTTATTTGTACCAACCATTCTGGAGAATGTTCTTCATTCACGTTCGAAGCCAGTCCCGCGTAAACATCTCATGTCCAAAATTTATCTGTGCTCATTCACGTGCCGGAGTGGGTACCCCTGAGATATGACCCCATTAGGTTGGGTTGGGGCACATGAGCGGCACACAGTTCTTTCACCTGGCAAAAGGAAACTCAACCACATTCGAGTCCAAGAAATGTTCAAACCACAACAAGAATTAAAAAGAGACATGCGGGTTTGTCTCCGAATCCCTCCCCTTAAACCAGCCCAATACGGGTACCCTCCAAAAAAAGGACACCCATGTAGGAACCTCGCATCCGCCGATGCAAGCAAGCTCTCCGGAAGCCAGCTACTTCGTGCGCTCCTGACGACGGCTGATTGCGCCCGGTCAGCCATCGAGGATATGCTCCTCACGGGAACTGCATTCTCCATGACCAAACATTCCCAGCTGCTCAAACCCCTTGAGCTTTCCAGCCTGAAAGATGTTCGCAAAGAGGTGGCTGTCACGCGAGGAACGGCGCGCGAATACTTGGAGTCCAAGGAAATGCGTATTTCCCCACCTCGGCGTGGCCAGCACTCACGATGGTTGTGATATCAAGTTCTAACTCTTTAAGGGCTGCCTACTGTCAAGCCGCTCGAGTTGTTGTTCTGCTGCCTTGCCGCATTTGTTGGCGGTACATCCAAAAAGCATCTGAGCTCGATTTCGCCCGGAGTGCTGCGAAACGCTAAAGGCGGCAGCTAAAGTTTGCCAGAGACTCATGTTTCTGCAGTCCGACCAGGGTTCTGCCAAGTCCCAGGCTCATACAAGCGGAGAGCCAAGAAGAGAGATAAAAACAGGCGTCGGAGAGTGACAAAATATGCATGAAGAGTTCCCTTTGAAGAGGGGGTTCCCTTAAAAGAAATCTGTAAGCATCTGCTGGGTGGATTGTGAGAAGGAGTCTCACTTGCTTGCTTGCCACTAAGCTGGTCCAGATCAAAACACTAAAGTCCAAGAACTCAAGCAGTGAGTCATGGATTGCCTTTGGAGCGAACCAGTCTCTGTGTGTGTGTTGTTTTTTTTTCAGGGCTCTTCAACATACAGTGTTGGCCAATCCTATTTAATATGTTCCGGAAACCTCGACTGGGACAGATTTAGGCGGCGGGAGTGCGGCCAGTCCAGGATTCGAATCATCGAATCCGCGCTGAAGAGCATTCGGGTATGTCTCCAAGGGGGACCGTGACCCAAAATGGGAGGTGCCCCTTTGGCCTTCCTTTGAAACCAACCAGAAAAACCCTCAAACCTTAGCCGAGCCTGAGCCTCAGAAGGGAAATGGACCCAAACAATTCAGTGGGTGTTCCTCGTGGTTTCCCAAAAGGAAACGCAAGGTGAGAACGAGACCGAGACTCCAAAAAACACAGGCAGCTCGCAGGCCCAGCCACCTCTCGAAGAGTAAGACTCTCGAGCTGTCTCGGACACATTCGCCAATGACTCTTGCCCTGGTCCTGCAGGCACTCTCACACTTGTTGCTGTTTTTATGCTTCTCTCTCTCTCTCTCCCTCCCTCCCTCCCTCCCTCCCTCTCTTTCTCTCTCTCTGTTTCGCTCTCTCTGTCTCCCTATCCCTCTCTCTCCCTCCCTCCCTCCCTCCCTCCCTCTCTTTCTCTCTCCATTTCGCTCTCTCTGTCTCTCTCTCTCTCCCTCTCTCTATCTCTCTCTGTCTCTCTCTCTCTCTCTCTCTTTCTCTCTCTCTGTCTCTCTCTCTCTCTCTCTCTCTCTCTCTTTCTCTCTGGTGCGCATGTGTCAAGCAGAAACCGCAACGATACAAACACCTGGCAGCTCCGGCTGAATTGAGTCCGCGTCCTCTCTTCCCATGCTGGCAACACGCGGCTAAAGGCCACAGGTAGATCCTCGGCGTACGGCACAGCGCCTACGACCATGACCAGCCAAAGCCGGTGCCCCAAATCCGAAACTGGGTACCCCGAAAATTGGCTCCCGAATCACTGTGTGTGTGACCCACCGCTGGGGGGGTCCTATTTTGACACATACCCAAGTCAGTGCGCTGCCCGAGCGTCTCTAGGACCAAAATAGCTGCTGGAAGAATGATCATCACGTTGATGTAGTTCCAAATCACCAACGTGCCTAAGAGTCGACCAAGCGAAAACTTGAGGACGCAGGTGAACTAGAAACTGGTTCGCAACCCCATGAACCACTTAAGGGACTTACAAACATGGCCTGACTTTTGATCGTGCGTACCAACCATTTATGTGAGAAATGTGGGCGGGGCTCATGTCCTCCCCAAACTAACAACAACCGGACAGCCCGCACCCCTCGGAAACAGTCACGTGAAGAATGTGACCATAGGTCAACATCCTGCCCCAAAATGATACCATTGGTTTTGACCCACGGCCACATGACTGAGGCCTGCACCCATGAAGAACCCGAACTTCTTCACTACGATCAGCACAGAGGCGCAATTCGCATAGAACGACCCCGCGGTCGTTGCTGTCGTGACCTTCACAAATCAAGTGTGCGGGTTTGGTCTCAACTTGGGTGTGTCTATTGTTGGGACCCCAAAAGACTGTGGTTGTCCTTTCAGCTTCTCTGTTAAAACCCAAAAAAGGTAACCTCCAAAAAAGACACAACCAAATGAGTGTGTCCTCTTGGTTCCAATAGCACACACACACAACCACACACATCCAGGAAGTCTTTGTAGACTTCTACTCTCATGGTGTGTATGAGGGTTCTTGGGAGCTTTCTGGAGCTTTGTTAGATTCACAGAACTCCGCGAGCAAAGCCATTGGTGTGTCTCAAAATAGAAGACCCTCCAAAATGGTGCTCAACAAATGAGGGCTCAACCCCACAACAAAAGAAAGCGACACCTACAGGTCTCTCACTAGGAGCGCGGCGAGCATCGCCTCACCCGCAGGCTTGTAGGCCCATTTCATGCACTCCACGGGTGTGGCATCGCCGAGCACCGCAGGAGCCAGGTAGAAGGTGTTGCACAAAATAAACCTGGCAAGGAACATGTGTCTTTTTTTGACGGAAACCTTTCTTGGGTTCTTGGAAGGAAACCAAAGCGAAACCATTGGCTTTGGAAGTTCTCCTTTTTAAAGCCAAACCCATATGGGTCATATGGGTGTAGCTTGACATAGGAGAACTCTTACATGGCCTTTGGTCTCCCTTTGAAACCACCTCAAAAGCATTGCTCTCAATAGAAGACACACCCATGCGTCAAGGAAACGGGCAACAACAATAAAAGTGTGGACATCAGCCCCTTTTCAGCCTGTGTGCCCAATTGAGCTGTGTCTTGCCCTATTGTTCGTGCTACGAATGGGTGTCTTTCTTTGAGGGTACACCTCTGGCTCTAGGCAGCCCCACGAGTCTTTCATTCCTCTCCTTTAGAAACAGTAATAATAATGGCCCCAGAACTACTAAGGAAGCCTCCTGAGGCTTATCCTCCCTACACCCCATCTTCCTCCATCACAACAAAGCTGCCTGCATAAAAGAAAGAAACAGCCAGGCCGCATGTCGTCAGCCGCGATTCCAACAATCAGGAACAGGGACAAAAAGTCCAGGACGGTCAAGGATGTGTAGCCTCAGTTCGTTGCCCCTTGCCAAACGCGAAACTCTTAGTGGGGAATGTCACAAAGTCGAAGCATGCTGGGCGCCAAGTAGCCCATTACCACCGAGTGGAAGTAGAAGGTGGCAGCAAAGGCCAACAGGACACCCAGCAGCCCGATGAGCGTCAAGAAAATACTCTGCAGATTCAGCATGATCAAGATGGCGACCTTACGCTCTGGCCACAGAGTCAGATGCAAGGGCCGGGCATTTGTCCAAAACAGTGTCCCGTGAGCAAGCAAGCAAGCAAGCAAGCAAGCAAGCAAGCAAGCAAGCAAGCAAGCAAGCAGGCAAACAGGCAGGCAGGCAGGCAAGCAAGCAAGCAAGCAAAGGTGCAGGCAAGCGACAGTTGCAAAGGTACCTGCACACCAAAGAGCGTCATGAAAGAGCCACTTGTTCACCTCGCAGGGCAGCCCAAGCCGCAACAACTTTGCTGTCCAAAGACAGCCGCAACTCTCGGGCAAAGCAAAGGGGATAGTTTGAAAGGCTTTGGAGATCGCATATTGAGATCCACCCTACTGCGAACAATACTGGTTGGGCTTTGTTGGTTTGCCTTCGAACCAGGCGTGTCCCCAAAAGAAGACACTTGGGTGTGTCTCAAAATGGAATCTCTCTGGATGGTGGTTTAAAGCGGAAAAAAACATGCTTGGGTACCCACAACAACCAGCTCGGGGGTCCACATCCTTCGTTTCCTATGTTCCTCTTGCTTGTTTGAAGCAAAAAGCCTTTGTAGGTGTGATTTAGAAAGGAATATGCGGAGGCCTACCCCTTTTTCACACACTCCCAAGTGGGTCTGTCGCAAACACCGAAAGGAAGCTCACCATGGGCCTCTCTTGTTTAAAGTCTTCGTTTAGGCTTAAGCCCAATAGGCCCCCCCCAATAGGACGAAATCCTGCACCACCTAAGAAACCCTGGAATGATTCCCCTGAAAATACCAACCGTCATCAGCTAGGTCTGGGAGGGGGGGGGGAACTCTTGAGCCACGAGCGCCTCATAGCTCTGAAGCGATGGCTCGTACCAGGTGAAGCGGACATGCTCGAAGGCCAGCTCCCCAGCGTCCGCGCGGCGCAGCACCTAGTCGCAGAGCAAATGGGGGGGGGGCTGTTGGGGGGGGGGGGGCTGTTGGGGGCCGTGGGGTAAAGGGACACCAAAAAACTGGGCAATACCTGGCAATGGGTTGGGGGGGATGCCTGGGTTCCGCCTGGCTTCCCTCCAAAAGATTACCAGCCAGCGCCCTTTTGCGGATGGATCATACTGGTTTTGTGGAGAAGTTCGACTTACATATGAGCTACATGGGGGTACGACCTCAACGGGCGTAAAGTGAATCCAAAAGTCAGATCAACAGAGCACAAAGGTGCAAAAGAAGGGAAAATGCCTTTGCGCATCACACCAGTCATTGCACCCACCCTCGAATTCGTCAAATGAGACAAGATCGGAATATGCGATTTCACGTGAAAGACCATGGGATGTTCGGGCTTGTGCATGTGGTTTTCGTGGAAGAAACTGAGAGCTTGTCCCTTGATGTCCGTCAAATTGCATTTTTGGTTGACCAAAATCAGCCGGGCAGATGTGTCTTTATCTTGGGGAACCTCACGACTCATTTTCCTTTGGTTTCTCCAACCCAAACCCCAACAAAAAAGGAACCTCCCAGGAACCGCCCCGAGGCATCTCTCGGCTCAAAGGGAAGCCGGAAACATGTTCAGACGACCGGCCTGCTCATAGAGCTCGACTAGGAAGTCCTCATGCCTTCGGAGCTGCTCCGACCACCTCACTCGAAGTCGGAGTTCAGTGAGACTCGCACTTCACACCTGGGTGTCAAAAAAATTGGAGGAGACCCCTATTTTCGTTTTGGGCTCCGTTTTCTGCCAAGGTGAAAAAAGGGTGTCCGGAAAAACGCCCGCACCCGCACTTGGCTTCCTTTGGAACTGTCAAAACACCAGACAAGGCGGAGGGACTGCCAGAAGGGAAGGTAGACGGGGGTCTCAGAAGAGGAAACGCTGGAAATTGGCGTCGCCTTCCCTTTCATCTTTCCCTTTAAATCACCCCGACAGGAGTGCCCTCCAGCAAACAAGATACTCCCCCAGTTTTTTTCATGGAACCCAGAAAGGGGGCCCCAAAAGAAACGATTCCTCGGAAACCAATCATCCTTTTTGGGGGTCCATGTCACTCGTGCTGGTTGTTTTTCTTGAGGGACAGGGCACCCTTTGTGCGGTCAATGTCTAGGCGTGCAACCACATGTGGGCAATGGCGTGTTTCTCAAAATGGATCTTGGAAAGGCCCCCTTTCGGTTGGTATTCAAAAGAAAATCAAAAGGAAATTAACCGTTTTCGGGGGAGGCACTATTTTGAGACACCCCATTTGCTAGGACCCCCCTCCGTTCCAGGCCCGAAGCAGAAACGGAAACCCGCGCCTGTCTTGCCAAACGCTGTACCCCGCCAGCGGCCTGCCGCCCTGAAAGGTCGCACGGGTGTACTGGCTCGTCAGGTTCCTCAGGCTGGATATGGCTGGACGGCTCAAACCGGTCTAGCGTCTGTCCAGAGGGAAGACTGGAGGTGGCCACAAACCAACATGGACCGTGGCTGGGACTCATTTTGAACATGGAATTTGTGCATCAGTGATCAACTTTGAGTGAGATGTGGCAAGTGCCTCAGTGGTTCCTTGATCCTTTGCTTAAAGTGGCCAACTTGTAGTGTGATATGGGTGTGAAAGTTCATGGGGAACCTTAGGTGCGTTCCCGTGTAAAATTCATAGCCATATGTCGTATATCCCTCTAAGCCCGGAAAAGGCGAACGACTGAAAAGTCAAAGGAACCGCATGGCTGGGAGCCGCCAAGGTTCCGTGCATTGAAGTCCTTGTCGGTGAACCAATAGATCCCGTCCCTGCGGTGTGAATTGGAAATGGGCCCCCCAAAATGCTTGGCCCACGCAATGAATGTGTCTCCGCCAATCACTCTGGAGGGCATTCCAACCACCAAACGTCATGTCCATTTACCATGGCTGACACTGGAAACCCCAGCCGGCAAGGGAAGATGAGGCCAGGCATGCCATCCACAATGCAAATTCCCCGCAAGGGAGCCAGAACTGCCAACGTGCGCACTGATGATCTGATGGCATGCCGAAGAATCCTGCCCGCAATCCCAAGGCCCCCAAGAAAGAACTCGGAAAATTTAGGGCTCGCCCCTCAAGTGAGGGAACTGGTGGTCCTATGTCCAAAACCCGCGGATCTCCTCAGAAGGCTTCTCAGCGTGGTGTTGATATCCTTCAGCTCCAAGCCGGGCCTGAGACAGGCGCTTTCCCCTCTTAGGATGGGAGCTGAACCTGTCTTCAGGTGTGAACCGGGTTTGGAGGAAACCAGGAAACCCGTGGAGTCGTTTCCAACCACCACTTCCATCACCATTTGTTGCTTCCCACCAGTCAAGATGTGGCTCAGATGTCAAAACGCTACTCGCGTGAAGGCTTCTCACCCAAGCTTCCGGCTCAAAGAAGAGCGAGGTAGGTGAATCTGGCGCCTGCAAACTTCTTTCAGATCCAAGCTTGCCAACGCTTGCTGCGTGTTCCTGGCACGACCGGTACTAAGACCCAAAACAAGAGTGTAGAAACCAAGCCGCAAAGGGTATCACCGAGAAACACGCAAAGCGGTTTGAAGCCCTCCGTCTGATCTAAAATCTCCACAGGCTGTCGGCCTGTCAGTATCCCACCGCTTGCAACACCCATCCAACCGGCTTCGGCCAACGTGGCCTTGCAGCGGCCATCTTCCAGCAGGCAGTGCTCTGAGTACCCGTTACAGGACTGGACGAGCTCTTCGAATTGCCTGATTTCCTCAGCGTGTGCGCTCGTTTGGGAAATGTAGAGGGAGGCAGAGAGAGACGGAGAGAGACGGAGAGAGACGGAGAGAGACGGAGAGAGACGGGGAGAGAGACGGAGAGAGAGACGGAGCGAGAGACGGGGAGAGAGAGACGGAGAGAGAGACGGAGAGAGAGAGACGGAGAGAGAGACGGAGAGAGAGACGGAGAGAGAGACGGAGAGAGAGACGGAGAGAGAGACGGAGAGAGAGACGGAGAGAGAGACGGAGAGAGAGACGGAGAGAGAGACGGAGAGAGAGACGGAGAGAGAGACGGAGAGAGAGATGAGACGGAGAGAGAGACACGAGAGAGAGAGAAGTGAGAGAGACGAGACGGAGAGAGAGACGGAGAGAGAGACGGAGAGAGAGAGAGGAGAGAGAGACGGAGAGAGAGACGGAGAGAGAGACGGAGAGAGAGACGGAGAGAGAGACGGAGAGAGAGACGGAGAGAGAGACGGAGAGAGAGACGGAGAGAGAGACGGAGAGAGAGACGGAGAGAGAGACGGAGAGAGAGACGGAGAGAGAGACGGAGAGAGAGACGGAGAGAGAGACGGAGAGAGAGACGGAGAGAGAGACGGAGAGAGAGACGGAGAGAGAGACGGAGAGAGAGACGGAGAGAGAGGAGAGAGAGACGGAGAGAGAGACGGAGAGAGAGACGAGAGAGAGAGACGGGGAGAGAGACGGGGAGAGAGACGGGGAGAGAGACGGGGAGAGAGACGGGGAGAGAGACGGGGAGAGAGACGGGGAGAGAGACGGGGAGAGAGACAGGGAGAGAGACGGGGAGAGAGACGGGGAGAGAGACGGGGAGAGAGACGGGGAGAGAGACGGGGAGAGAGACGGGGAGAGAGACGGGGAGAGAGACGGGGAGAGAGACGGAGAGAGAGACGGAGAGAGAGTCGGAGAGAGAGACGGAGAGAGAGAGAGAGAGAGAGAGAGAGAGAGAGAGAGAGAGAGAGAGAGAGAGAGAGAGAGAGAGAGAGGGAGGGAGAGGAGAGGAGAGGAGAGGAGAGGAGAGGAGAGGAGAGACAGAGCGAGAGAGAGCGGGAGATTCAGAGAGAGAGAGAGAGAGAGAGAGAGAGCGAGAGAGAGAGACAGAGAAAGAGAAAGAGAGAGGCAGAGAAAGAAAGAGAGAGGGAGAACAGAGAAAGCAGAGAGAAAGAGAGGGAGACAGATATGTATATTGTATATATATATACTATAAACATATATGTTCATACATAGTGGAGCAGCGTCGCAAGAACCCATCGACTTCTGTTTCTGCTTCTACCAAGATTGATTGAGCTTCATCAACCACGTTCAGATGGTCCGTGTCAAGTGAACGCTCGGATTCCAAAGGTTGTAAACGGACACCAAATGTGTTTGTCTCAAAATGCGAAACCCCCAAGATGGATGGGGTTTCCCTTTCCCCATCAAATCGACCTCTCTGGTGCCCTCACCCAAATGTGGCTTCTGCCAGCTGCTCGTGGCTTGGAAAGACAGTACCTCATGGCCGCTGGGAATCCTGGTCTCCATTCGCATCGGCGCTTGTTCCCAGGGTTGTCAGCCCCCCAAAGAGGACATGGACGCCCCCCCCCCCCCCCCCCCCCCCCCCGCAAAAAAAAAAGGGCACCCCGAAGGAACCCTTGCGTTGGAGTGAGGCAACAGACTATGGGCCCACAACAGAACTCCGCGCCTCCAGCGCCTCCGCGGTGAAAATGCCCCGGCTGTCCAAGGCCTGCGAAGTCGACCCAAAGGATGAATCGTGGGGAACCCCCTAAGGGGTTGGTGGACACAGGTAATGATGTCCACCAAAGGGTCTCAAGTAAGATGTCCTTCCAAATTGTGCTGGCCTGTGTCCTCTTGCTTTTCTCCGGGGATGCCGGATGCCTCAGAATGCTCATTGCCAATCGAGCTTCTGCTTGCTGACCTGGATCGCACCTGTCTCACCTTACCCAACTCGGGCCGCAGGCCAACAAAAGACCAAGGAGCCACAGACCCACCTTTTCGGGTTGCCATTGGCCATGACTTGACCCAAACCACCTGAGACAAGAACCAAAGGTCAGGTCTGGTGAGCCGACTTTTTCTACCCTGCAAATCAACATGGAAGGAAACAAAGCCATTGTTCCTTCAGAATCCCCGGCTTGGGTTCATTGTCTTAATTTGCAGGCGGGTAAAGAAAGTATGCGGCTCTCTTGCGCGCCTGGTAAAACAGCTCGAGCTTCCGCCAAGGCTTGGACTGCGTCTGCAAGCGCCGGCCTATTGCATGGCTCACTCGAACCCCTCATATTCTACAAAGGACTGCTAAACATAAGATGCTTGCATGCTGGCCCTTGAGTGAACCAAACTCCAACAATGGACCGCTTAGTAAGTCCACGCACTGTGAATGGCCTGTGGCGTTTGAAGCGAGTTGGCTTTGCGCAGGCCGCTGCGTTTGCTGAAGCGAGCTCATCTCTCTGCACTCATCTGTGCCTAAAGCGCCTTCCTCCGAAGAGTTGGGCGACGGAAATCGCCACCTTGGATGGGTGTGACATGGGTGTCTCTCAACATAGGGGAGCCATCCAAAATGGGTGGTGTCCTTTGGGTTTTCCTTTGAAAACGCAGCGCCCCCTTAAAATAATCAAAGGGAGGCACACCCACTTCGGCCTCATATCATGTGTGTAGCACTAAGCGTGCCATGCCAAGCCGCCCAGCCCACTGTTGGGCTCGCCGTCTTCGGTCGCCACGCTTGGCCTCTTCCCGTCGGACAGCCTCCTTGACACTGGCCCCATGTAAAAAAGACTTCCATAGAGAACTGCGTCTCGCGGCGAAGCCCCAAAACGTTCCATCCCACCCTTCCTCTAACGACTTGAAGGTGGTTGTTTCTTTTCGGTCTGCTGCAACAGACAATGCATCACATGGCAAAGCCGTATCTTTGAAGGGACCCTGAACCCCATCCCACCCCAACCCAGTTTTTCCACCACCAGAAACAAAACACACACGAAACCCGAAGAAGAAGCAAAAAGATGCCTCAACGCGCTTGGGTCAACGGCGCCACTGCTTGTCCACCAGTTTCATCCCCCCCCCCCAACACTAACCGGTGCCAAAATGGAACCCTGGCAAGTGGAAACATGGACCAAAACCTGCGTAACCTCTCCTGTTTCATTCTGAGCCACACCCACGTGGCAAAAGCGTATCTTTGAAGGGACCCTGCAACACTCTCCTGAACGACACTCGCGGATCGCTGGATGGGCAGATCCGCGGCCAGGTACCCCGAGAAGTCCAGATCCACCGCCGGAAGCCCAGCCTCCTGGCAAGGGGGGAGGGGGGGTATTCGAAGGGAAACCAAAGAAAGATGTGGCTCAAACGACAAGCTGAACAAGGGTGGTTCCAACTTTGCCTCACAAACGTGGCTCTAGCCTTGCCCAACAAAGGCGGCTTGACTTCAATTCAACCTCCTTGCCCTCGATTGAGGACCCGGGGCTTTTCCCCGGCCTGGAACGCGCAGAACCCGAAGGCGGCCGGAAGCGCCACCCCCGCCACGAGGCACAGCAAAGGGTAGCGGGTGAGCAGCTCCAGCCAGAGCTCTACGGGGCCGAAGAATTCGGTCCTGGCATCGACCAGGTTTCCCCTTGAAAAGCTGGCAATTTGCGGGACACTGCCACTTTTGGAGGTTCCAAAAAAGGGATTCTCCCTGCTGTAAGCTTGTATGTTGCAAACTTGAAACCATGGCAATGACCAGTCTGCTTCAAGCTTCGAAGAAGCCAAAGGTCTTGGATCACTCCACTCAGATCGGCCCCTAGTTGGCCTGCAGGTGGATCTCAAAGTGGGCCATCTGGAGCCAAAATGGCCGTGGCCATTTCATTGCCAACATGCTCTCGCTCACATTTGAACTCAGTTTCCCAATCGGTGTGTTTTTTTGTTTCATGGGTTCTTTATGGGTTCTTTATGGGTTATTGAATACCTTTTGAGAGGCAGTTCTTATGAATCCGGGATCAGCATTGAAGTCACAATAACCGTTATTGTGACTTCAATGCTGATCCCGGATTCATAAGAACTGCCTCTCAAAAGGACACTCTGAATCAACTGGGGGCTTGATTCATCCGGGGTCAAAGTTGTGGGTTGCTGTAAAGTTGCGTTTTTGTCATGGGTTCTTTGATGCGCGCGCTTCCTTTTTTGCCTGGAACCAACTAAACCTACAGTGTGCTCTTGTGAGTTGTTGTTTTATTGTGTTGTTGTTTTTTTCTTTGATGGATTGAAGCCAACGAGGGAAACCAACTGATCCTTTACGGTCCCCCTGCCTGGCATCTCGCTTCTTCCTCTGCCAGTGTACTGCATGGCCTTGGATACACACGCGAAGATGTGCCCGCTGAGCTGCATGCGAAAATTGGGGCTCCGCCCCACCCACCCCACCCCCCCCCCAACCCACCCCTCAGACTTGTCTGGCTGACCTTTAGAGAGTCCCCCGAAAAATTGTGTGGAACCTCTTTGCCTTCCCATCCACCACGGAACCTGACTGGGGGGTGAGGGAAGACCGTGTTCCTCAACTTGACAACAGACTTTCTGGCGGGCTTTCTATGTTGGTGGAAAGGTGAGACAAACAATGACTGGCGCCGCTCAGTTCAAGCTACCAGGATCTGCATGCAAGGCACTGGCACCATAGCTGAATAAGATCAAGCCTGCCAGTCCAGCAGCGATCCACGCGAGGTACATCGAAACTCGTGGAACTTCAGCGGAAACGGCATCCGGCAAAGCCAAGCTGGGAAGAAGTCGGGAAGGCACGAGCTGTGGTGCTGTTGCAGAACGGTGCTGCAAGAAGACATGCCAAATTCAAAACGAAACAATTCTTGAACTATCGATGACATGGCAACTCCCAAAATGGGCTACGATGTGCTCTTCTCCTGTGAGCCAAACCGTGAGGCTCAGGCAGTTCACTCCAACTGAGGCTGGTTGGATGCAGTGCGAACATCCATCTCATCCAAATCGAAGCACCAACACACAAACGCGCACAGACATAAACCCGGGAATCCGCTTCCCAGGAGCCCCAGTGCCCGCAGTCTTTTTCACAAGCATCGGAGGTGGGTTGGTTCCTTTTTGAGTCCTTTCCAAAGGCCGTTGCAAACCCTTCCCAGAATGAGGGCAAAATTGAATCTGCCATTTTAGAACAATTCCAAAGCCTGAGAGGGGTCCACAAGTGAAGGACCTACATCACGTCGAGCTTGTTTAAGCTGAATACATGGCTGTGGGTCAAAAATATGTACCCAAAATGGAACCCTGGTAAATGGAAACTTGGACTACAACCTGCGGTTTCCTGGCTTAATTTTGACCCACACCTACATACTAAAGGATCAAACAGCACGGGGCACCGCCTTTGGCGGTCGCCACGTCTGGCTTCCCCGTGGTGTGCTGTGCACTCTTGAATGGGTTGCCTGCACAAGGCTGCCCGTCCGCGGCTTTGGCCATGGACCGGAAAAGGGGCAACAGCAGGATGTCCAGCGCCAAGGCATCTCGAACCTCAGACGAAAACGAGCCCTGTCGTGGGTGTTCGAGTGAACAGCACACTTCACAGGTGCCTGTATGCAGGCGTCTGCCTGTGCCTGCAAAAAATGTTGTGCATGCGAACTTCCCAGGCGCGCAGAGAGCTCCTTTCGTCGCACAAAGTTTTCCTAAAAGGCCACTCTACCCCCACACTTACCCCTGCCTCGAAGCAGGGACCAGACTCTGCCACCACCGCGCGCGAGGAGAGGCCCCGCTTCAGAACTGGAGCCATGGCCTGTGCTCCAACCGCATGCGCTCAAATGTGTATCGGGGTGAAAGCAAATCGCACCACAGTTCCTGATATGTGGGCAAGTGAAGGGATGACTAAGCCAACATGGGGGGATGCGCCCTCTATGTTCACCCAAAGGCTCCGCCTGTTTTACACGAACCGCCCATCCTCCGCTCCGAATTGTCCCATTTAAGACCAACCCACATCATACCTTTCAGCAGTCTGGGGTGAGACAACCACTCGTCACCCGCAACCCTACACTTCCTTCTTGAACAAGCTTCCCCAAAGATGGGGGCGCAACTGTCCCCCTTTCCCAAAAAATAATTGGCCTGAGTTTCGAAAACGAACACATGCGTCAAAAAAAGCTAAGGGGCTCCTTTTCGCAAAACCTTGACAAAAAGATCCAGGGCTCATCGCAAAAGGCCCTTGAAAGCCAACGGTCGCATCTCCCGAGGCTTTCTGCGAGCACTCCGAGGGCCTCCATGGCCTGCCAGGTCACGCCTTTCTGGGCCCAGTCCTCCGCCGGGTCGCCTTCACCTGGCAGAGCTCGGCGACAAAGTTTCAAGGGCGCTCTCCGTTTTGCACATAGAGTCGTATGCCTCACAAGGCCCTTCTTACTTCCTTGCACATCAGCGCAAACAAAAGAGCCATAGCTGCTTGCTTGCTTACAGGGTTAAAAGATGGACATGAAAATAACCAGGACACAGAATGAAACTTCCACTAAAACCATGTTCTTCTCCGCCTTTCAAAGGCTTCTCAGCCTTTCCAACGCTTCTGCTGCCCTGCTTGGCCTTTTCCAAATGCCTTTTCCAACGCTTCCTGGTCGCCTTTGCGCCTTTGCGCATGGCTTACATGGAGCTGGCACAGAGGGCTCAGCGGGACGCCTACTTGAAAAGTTCCACAAGAGGCAAAACCGCTGACCTTGGCAAACGAGCAGATTGTCACTGAGTTCAGAGCACCGATGGGGAGTCCAAGACAGAAGCTGCGAAGGAAATGCACGCGGGAGTCATTTTCAAAATCAACAGCAAAATCAATTTGAAAGTCAACTAGAACATCAATTGAGGAACAAATTGGGACTTGACAAGAACTTGCCTTTTGATTTTGGACGTTGCGTAGAAAATCCCAGAAGACTTGCTAATGGACTGCAATCAAGATCGGATACTTAGAGGCGTGCATACCTCCCTTTTGGATGTGCGTGTTCTTGTACTTCACTCCTTCATTGGGATCTCTGAGCAGATCGTTGTCTAGCAAGAGGTCCCCAGTGTTCTGGCACTGATGTGGATGCGGTCCAGCTGACCCGGAGCCCATATGGCTGCCTTACTTGAAGTTAGAACCCCTATAGCTTTCAGCTATCTGGGGAAAAGAACACCATGTCTAAGGCGGAGCTACCGGAAATTCTGAATAAAGTTTGCCAAATTCCCACCCACCAAAACCAAAGGTTTGGGCTTCTTTCAAGGCTGTGCAATTGCTGGAAACCGATTGGTCGCATTTCTGCGCCACTCAGCAAATACAGGCATGCTGCGGGAAGGTCTTGTTCATCTGTCCCAGACAATGTCTAAATTTCATGACAAGTGTATCAAGACATGAGCCACGGTCATGATGCACTCCCTGCACTCCCCAGTCCACAAATTCAAGCATTCAGAACAGACCATCTGCGAGTGCCCCAAACACACTCGACAGAGTGGACGATGGCTGAACTCTCAACTGCCTTCCTCAACTCTGGTGTCAAATGGCCATGGGTCAAAAGTTCGTATCCTCAGTGAACATCCCAATCCCCGCTAAAATAGACTAAAGTGGGTGGTGAATTCACCCACCCCAAAATGGTATTGGTTTTGACAACCACAGCCAAATGGTGACCCTGCCTAGGCTGTCGAAGTGGACGCCCACATTCGCAGAGATGTCGCCGTGCTTTCGGGCCATTCGCCTGAAGCAAGCCACCCCAGCTGGCCGAAATGAGAGATCAGACATCCGGAGCTTGATAAACCGAGGATCAGTTTTGTTTTGGCCTCCAAGCCTACAAAACCCCCTTTGGCTGCAAGGGAAACCCAGTGAACACGATACCCCGCATCGCAAGACCACCGTTCCCCGTCGCCCAGTGAGCCGCCCGCTGATGCGTGTGACCCACCCGCTCAAGGATCCGCTCCAGGTGAGGGCCTAGCTCGCGGACGGACGGAGCTGGCGATGGTTTGCTCAGGATCCACTGAAACTTGGCACAAAAACAAGGCTCCGATCAGGTCAAACAACTCAAAGGTCGGTCTCCGAATGAGGACCCCAAAACTGGGTTTCCCTCGTTTTCCCTTGCCAAACACCCACAAAACACACACGCCTATGCCTGGCCCACAGGTGTATGCGGTGCGAAAGGTGATGCGAAGTGCTGCAGGGCGTTCAGTGTTTACCTAGAAAAAAGCCCTGTGGGTGTGTGTGTGTGTGTGTGTGTCAAACTAAGTGAACCCCGAAAAAAATGATGATTTCCTTTGGCTTCCATTTACCCATGTTGTTTTGTTTCCGCTTAGTTTCCCTTTAAACCAACCACCAAAACGGGTAATGACTATCAGCCTCAACAACAAGCACACCGAGAGAGCCGTCAAGAAACCTCGCTGTTGGGGTGTTTGTGTTTCCGCCAAAAGTGATGGATTTTCTTTCGATTGGGACACACCCCCATTGATCGACCAGTATTTTGCCTGTCCTGGGTTAGCAGGTGGATGTGCCCTCGGGGTCTTTCCAAGGCCCGCCCCGCCTCGCGCCTCTGTGTATGTTGCGATACAAGTAGTGCGAAATGTCCGCGTTCACTTCAAAGTAGCCTCCGCTCACTTTGGAAGGCTCAAGCATGGTCGCTTTTTACCGCTTTGGGTGGTTTCCCGTTGGCTCACCTTTGAAACCAGCCAAAAGGCCACCCCATTTCTCCCTGTTTTGAGACACACTCAAGTAGCTTGGGCAGTAGTCGAAGATCTTGCAAAGAGCTTCTGGGTCCTCTGAGATGCGATCCACGTGAGTTTCCACCTCGGCAGATTTTTTGAGCCAACAAGTCCGGGGGGCATCTTTTTTGGGTTTGGCTTGAAGGTTAAAAGACTCATTTGGGGGTGCCCCTATTTTGACACACTCAACCAGGGAGTGTTGTCCTGTCCCCGGGCTTCTAGTGGAGGACTTTGCGGAGACTGCCAGAATGTTGACCGAACCTGAACTATCACCTAGATATCCTTGGTATATAGCAAAGGGAATTCAGGTGCACCCCTGGGGACCCTTGCACCAAAGCACATAGAAGTTCATATCCAGCTCGAAGCAAACCTTCTGCATTTGGTGCACCCGCTCTGCCTTAGACACAATCGACCTGCAGAAAAAAGCCATCGACATCCGGACAAGTGGCACCATGCAGGTCCTCTACCTTCAAGCTCATTTGAGTCAAAGTCAAAACCCAGGTCTACCCAGAATCTTGCAAAGAATTAAAAAGGCGGCCGCTGTACCCTCCAATTGCCCGGGTTTTGCTTGTGACTCAATTTGCTACGCAAGCCACCCAAGTTTCGGAGGCACGGAGCTCCTGGAAAAGCTGGAAGACGTGGGTAAGGCGTCTACCCAGTACAGCATTGAACACCGGCAAGGTCGTAGAGAAACAGCCAAGAGTAAGGTTCGTGGAAGATTCGTTGGCGCGTGACCGGCTCTGGGCTTGCCCATGTTGCCAGGGCCGCTCGCAATAGGCTTTGCGTGGAGAGCGAAGTGCGGCTGGGAAAAAAGGATCGGCGCATCAAATGGAGCGTAGTCGCACGAAATAAAGCCTGCTCAGTTCAAAGTACTGCCAAAATATGTCAATATCCGCATTGCGGCAAAATCCGAGGTTGCACCCTGCAGAACTGCAGGTGGATGTGATGGCCTCTTACGGCAACCCTGGGCCGAAACCAGATAGAGCACCGTTGGCAAGAGAGGCTGAGATGGCAATCAGAAGGACGCCAAAGAGCTTGCAGTCCGGGTTTCGCCACAAAGCTCGGGAAGCTTGTGAGCGCCTTT